AATAAAATGAAATAGTATAAAACCAATCAAAACCAGGTGCTGGGGATTTAGCTCAGTGGCATAAGTGCCTGTCTTGCAAGCAGGCAGTCGTTAAGTTCAATCCCTGGTACCCATAAAAAGGAAAAAGACAAAAAAAACCCCCAAAAAACAAAACAAAACAAACCAATCAAAACCAAAGAATGAAAGGATTATGGGACTCAAAACAGGACAATAGGGAATCAACAAAGGCTACCAGAATTCTCTTGTTTTCTTCAAAATAGCTGTCCATACCTTCACATAAAATGAAATAAAATAATAGAAAACACTAAAACAAATCCAAACAAAAGAATAAAGTGTTATAGAACTTCAAAACCAGATAACAGGAAATGAACAGTGGTTACCATAATATCTTGTTTTTTTAATACAGATCCATACTATCACACATGATAAAAGCAAAACACAGCAGAATAAAGCCAGTCAAAACAAAAGAATAAAAGCACTATAGGACCTTCAAGATGATAGGAAAGCAACAATAGGTACCATAATGTCTCATTGTCTTCAAAACAGCTATTCATACCATTATACATAATAAAAATCAAACAAAACAATGAAGCCAATTAGAAGAATGAAAGCATTGTGGAACTTAAAGATAATAGGAGACCAACCATGATTACCATAATACATCCCATTATGTTCAGCATAGCTACCCATACCATCAGACAGTAAAATCCAACAAAACGAGAACAAAACCAAACCTAACAAAATTGTGAGAACAATACAAGAATTTAAGACAATAAAAAATTAGCATTGGTTATCACCTTCCTCTCCTAGGTGTTTCCTCCTCTATCACTTTTATAATATCTGTTGTGCTTTTTGGATCACACTAACCCTTGTTTTTTATGTTAGGGTTCATACCATTTCACCCATGAACATGATCTCGAATTGCATCCAAATGGATGCAATTCAAGAACCTAGAGATTATTGTACTTTATAATTGGGTGGCTTTCCATTCTATGAAAATACCGTGTCTTTCTTATCCCTTCTTTGGTTGATAGGCAAGCTACCCTTGCTTTTTTTCTAGTCTCCTGTCACATGGAACAATTGTTTTCTCTCCTTTGATTTTTAGTCTATGAATTTCCTTTCAAGTTAGATATATTTCTTTTTTGTATTTTTGGGACAGGGTCTCATTATGTAGTTCAGGCAAGCCTTGACCTCACTTTATAATGCAGGCTGATTTTAAACTCAAAATGATCCTCCTGCCTCAGCCTCCCAAGTGCTGGGAGGCTGTGCTTATAAGCTTGTGCCACCACACCGGGCTTAAATGTGTTTCTTGTATACAGTATATTGGTGGATCTTGTTTCTTGATCCACTCTCCCTGTGTTTCTTTTTATTGTTGAATTGAGGCCATCTACATTAATGGTTACAGCCAGCATACATTGATTTGTCTTTGTCATGCTAACCTTCTGCTGTTGGCCGTCCACTTTCAATTTCCTGTCCTGTTTGATGATCCTTCTCTGCTGCTGTTTCTGGAACCATGATCATCTTTATCTCTCTCTAGAATATCCTTTAGCACTTGCTGTAGGTTTGGTTTGTTGGTTGTGAATTCCTTCAGTAGTTCTTTATCATGGAACTATCTTATTTTTCCATCAATTTTGAAAGATTACAGGGTACATCAATCTGGGTTGGAAGATATTTTCTTTCAGGATCTGAAACACTTCAAAGTCGTCGTGATGGTTTTGCATTGAGAAGTCTGCCATGATACTAATTGGTGTTCCTTTATAGGTGATCTGTTTCTTTTCTCTTAACAGTCTTTAATATTCTGTTCTTGTGCTAAATTTCTGGGATCTTGATTATTACACATCTGGGTATAGGTTTACTTTGGTAATGGTTAGGTGGAGTTCTATATGCCTCACTTATCTGCATGCCAGATCCTTTCCCCATATTTGGGAAGTTTACTGCTATTACTTCTGTAAATAGCCTTTTTATTCCATTTGTGTTGACCTCTGCTTCTTTAGTGATACCTGTCACACTTCCATTATGTTTCTTTGTGTCATCTTGTAGCTATTGAATTATTTCCCAGTCCCTTGTTATTTTTAAGAGATCTTTCTTTACTTGATTTCTAGCTTCAATCCTGACTTCAAAGTTTGAAAGTCTATCTTCAGTCTCATTCAAGCATTTTTGCCAGCTTTTGATTGACTTTTTAATTTCCGGGATGTCTCTTTGAATCTATTTCATGCATTGTAATTCCTTTCTATATTGTTCATTCAAGGTTTCTATCATTTTCTCATACTTGTCTTTTTTATCTTCTTTAGATATACTGAGCAATTCTTTCATTATATTTGTGATTTCTTCTTTTACCTGAGATATTTCTGATTTGATAACTTTTTATATTCTCATGAAGTTGTTTCTTTATTTCAGTTGTTATCCTCTCAGAGGTTATATGGTGTATATCTTCCATATTCTTCTATGATGGTATCTTCCATTCTTGTTCTGTATGGGCTGGGAGTCTGAGATTGCCATTTGCTCCTTTGTCTTGATATTCTCCTGGGTTCCTCTCAAGAAGCTGCTTGTGGGGCCCTATGCACTCCTCCATTCGCAGCCCCTCTGCAGTGTAGGGGAAGGAAAAGGCACTTGGGTTCATTTGACCCCAGGTTTACAGGGAGCACGGTATGGGGTGGGCTTCCAGACCTGTGTCTGGAAGCTTCAGGCTACACTGGAGCTTCCCCAAAGACCAAGGGTACATGGTCTTGGGACTGTGTCTCTTAGCCTGTGTATCTACACCAAGACTCCTGTGACGGTAGCAGGCACACAGGGCTGTCTATGTTCGTCTTATTCTCTGGGTGGGTGATGGCTGCCAGAAAGAAGCAAAGGTCTCCAGTGGTGGCCTGCAGATGCATGGGGCTTACCTGGTTGTCTGTCCCTGCTCCCATTGGCTGCAGCAGCAGCCAGCAGGTGGAGGCATATCTGATTGTTTCTCTCTGCCCATGCTGGCCCCCCTCAGGAAGCAAACCTTTTAATGGCAGTGGCCGTCGAGTCAAGACCTGTTTGTTAATTTTTTTGAGACATAGTCTTTCTGTATAGTGCAGGCTAGCCTCGAATTTGCTTATGTGGTGCAGGTTAGCTCACTGTGGTCCTCATACCTCAGCCTCCCAAGTGCTGGGATTACAGGCATGTGCCAACACGCCCAGCTTGTTTGTGTGTTTTTGATCTATAACTTCTGTCTTAGAATTTCTGACTCTAAACCCTAAATTAATAGACTCTAAATTTTAAACTTAATAGACTTACATAATTTCCCTTTACTCTCTTTGTGGAGTTACATATCGAACCTGAGGCCATGTGCATGATAAGCAAGCACCCTACTGTGAGTTATACACTTCCAGTGCCTGCCTTTGTGTTCTTACATGATACCTACTTTATTTCTCATACAGCAGTGATGGAAAACCTTTTAGGGATTTTAATGATAATAAACAATGTGCCTGTAGCACATATGACATAGATTTGTTACCACTGCACTAGACCCCATACATTAATCAAAGTTGTTTCTTGAATTCCTCGTCTAATCATTTCAACTTCTATGTTTTATCTGAATCTTGTTTTGTATACATTTTTGCCTTTTACTTCTTGTGGTTTGTAAGTTTTCTTTTTTCTTTTTGGTGTTGTTTTGAGTTTTAGTTTTGCTATGTAGTTTTGGCTGGCCTTAAGTCAAACTGACCTCAAACACTTAGCAATCCTTCTGCCTCAGCCTCCCAAATGCTGGAATTACAAGCATGTGCTAGATCTGTCTTTAAACAATTTGTTGCTTGTGAACTTTGAACCTAACAAATACTTTGTAATCTCCTTCTTTCAGTGAGATAGTATGGCTAGTATGGGATGATATTTGATACTTCTCTTTTTACTAATGGAATGCTAAAAGGGGATGGTATTGGAAATTTTTCATCTTTCAAATAGAAGATTAGAGATGGTTACAATGGATTTTCTTCTCCAGTTTTGGCTCTGATGAAAAAAAAAAAGAACTAGCTGATTTTGCTTTGGTTAAACAGTTTCTCTTAAGGGAAAACCCTATTAAGAATGGGACATTTTGGCATATTTGAGAATACTACCTTCCCACCTCCCTTTGGAGCGTGAGAGAATGTTCTGACAGTCATGGTGAAAATATGATAAGTTTAGGAGGTAAAATTCATGAGTATTGCCAACACCCTCATGACTAGGCTCCCTAGTAGTTTTTATCTCTCAGATTTTTCACATTATTTGTAGGTATTTGTCCATCACAGTTCAAAGTTTTCTTATACTGGCTGTAATTCTCACCCCAGTATTTTCTGTTCCTGAATTTCTATCTTAATAAGTTGTGATTTGCTCTAATTTTAATTGTAGTAGTTTTTTTATGATCTTATTTTTCTTTTGAATCTAAGAATTTTCAATTTTGTTCAGCTTTGTACTTGTTAGAATGGAGTAACAACCTTTGAGCAATTTACAGATTGAGTTGAAACTTTGTATTCAATCTAGAACAGCACAGAATATTAAAAGAGAGGAGGCAACTAGATATAAAGAGTTTAATGTGGACACGAGTCATCATAGAGAAGGCTGTGGTGGCTCTCTGCACATGAGGGGCAGGTTCTGCCTTACATATGTTCTGATGGGGGAAGGGCTTTGGGGACTGAAGTAAGCTAATTTATTTTATGAGAGTGCAGGGGATTGGGTGAATCTTTACACACATGAGCTTTGGCAAAGACTTTTGGGAGGAAAAAGCCATGGGGCTTCTGGGAAGAAGGAGCTAAGCACCATGATGAGTTAGCATTGCACTGCCACCATGATGACTGAGCAAATCCGGGGCAGGACCCTATCACTTATGATAGAAGATTGGACCAAAATAGCTTTTGATACTATTTCAAAAGACTTAGAACTGAATTATATATAGGTGCCTTCATTAACATAGAATTTAAAATCCTTGTTTTTTTTTCTGACATATTTTGAGTATTGTTTTGTTGGACTCATAATTTTTTTAAAAAATTCATTTTGAATAGATGAATATGAACGGGAAGAAACCAGACAAGTTCACATGGATCTAAATAATAGCGTAGAGGTAAGTATTAGTGAATATCTGAATATTTTAAATCAAGGAATTCGTAAAGTAGGCTGATGAATACAAAGATGTAGACAACTGTTCTTCCTAAAAAGATTATTACTTTTTGTTGATATATGAATCAATAAAATTCAGTTTTACATTATGAGTATTAATATTTTGCTGATTAGTTACTTTACATGTCAGCAACACTAATTTGTCAAATATTTACTGTGTCAGAGATCAGCATATTGTGACCTAACTGCTTGTGTTATAGTATTATATTACATTAATTTGAAAACATATAAAGCATTAATCTGTGTTTGGCTCCTGCTTCCCTTTGTTATCTCATGTATTATTCACCCCTCTGCTCTTCTGCTGTAGTCACTTTTCCTTTTCATATTTCTCTTATAAACTTATAAACTTTATCATGTTTTTTAGTTTCCTATCTTACTATTAATTTAAATGTCTTTATTCAATTATTGTTTATCTTCATCTCATTTAACTTTTTTGAAGAGCATTTAAAACTACATGACATTTATTTAATACATATACGTCTTGTTTGTGCATGATTATGTGTGGACACAAACTTGTGTGTTCTTGATCTGTAATATAAAAGTTTCAACAGGTTAGAGACTTTGTTTTATATCTTAAGTGCCTAAAATAGTTGCTGATACATAGGCAATACTCAGTAAATGTATAAAGAGTGAATACGTGAATGAATCTGATTTTACAAAGCAGGATTTATTGAATTTTGAGTGAACACATGCCATCAAATAAATGAAAGCAGACTTTTGGATTCTTATAGAGGGAAACATTACTTTAGTAGTAAGAAAGAGAAAATTTAAGTCAGTGCAAATAAATGAAAAATTACATATTGTATTTTATTGTGTTAAGTGAATACACAAAATACCAGCAATTATTTTACTAATGCTTTATATAAAATGATTATAGTACCTTTCATATCTAGGAAACTAATGTTATAGGCATTCTTAATACAGTTTTACTAAATCACTTGTTTGAAATTATAGAGTTTTCATTATTCATGGTTGTATGATTTTCATGTGTATCTAGTGATTACATGTTAATATTTTCAAGTTTTGAAGAAAGGTACTTAATCTAGTAATGCCATTTTCTTAGATATAGATTGTAAAATTTCATAAATATTTGAGTGAAAATCGTATGTTCTCTTTTGTAACATACTTTGTGTTATGCTTTGAAGACAAATTAAATGTTCAACAATTTTTAACAAATTACAAGAAACCTAAGAATGATTCTTAAACTTTGTATTCCAGAAAATGATAGTAGCTTTTGAGGAACTTCGTGTGCAAGCTGAGAATTCCAGACTGGAAATGCATTTTAAGTGTAGGAATCTCATTTAATTTTTATATTACTCTTTTGGGATTTTAATTTTTATTAGATTCTGTTAATGTTTTTATCCCTTCAGTTAGATGCCTCAATTATTTCCAATTCTGTTTGTTTCTTAAATCTTTCTAAATCTTGTGAAATATAGCTGGGAATTAATATATATTAAAAATAACTTTTGGCTTTAGATCTACATTTTTCATGCCGTGAAACTTATGGTTCATACTTAATTTTTTAAATGTATAACTTGGTTTTTATATTTCCTTGTAAAATATATGTGTTAAGATAATTATATATATCTCTAACATTTTATTGTAGATTAATGTGCTGCAAAGAATGAAATTTTATGTGTGTGCTGAATGTAGAATTTTAAGTAATAACTTTGAAATTACTAAATTTCACTAAACAGAATTAGGAAAATTAGGAAAATAACAGTTATAGTGTTGAGATAAATGAGGTAATGAAATAATTTTGTTTGTATTAAAAAACTATACAATTAACATGTTAAGACATGATATATTTTTTATTTTTGAAGTAAAGGAAGATTGTGAAAAAATACAGCACCTTGAAGAAGAATACAAGAAAGAAGTAAATGACAAGGAAAATCAGGTTTTTTTAAAAACAGCTATTTATATTTTCTTTAAATATTAGTTAACTTTTAAAAGTTTTTGATCACAAATTTGTATGTATTTATGAGGTACAGCATGATATTTTGATTCATGTACACATTGGGCAGTGATCAGTGGAGGATAGTTAGTCTATCTACTACCTAAACTTATAAAGGTTTTTATAGTGTATACATTGAAATTCTCCTATTATGAGTTATGTGATATTGTATTCTTTTTTTCTAATTCCTAAGTACTTATAATTTCAAAAGAAGCTTGTATTTGTTGACTGCATGACATGTTTCTGAAATAATTTTAATATTGCATCCAAATATTCAGCAGTTTCATGTCCAAATTAATTTTCAGTGACTCAGATATATACAATGAATGCTTGGTTTTTAATCAATGACACAGTATTTATGTCTGTTTTCATTGCTGTAAAAATGATTATATTTTATGAGAAATTTTGTTTAGACAAATCTAATACAATGTAATCAATGACCGTCAACCTATATTTTGTAGTTTGTGTTGAAATATACTATGACATACCAAAGAAAGAAAATTGAAATATTTCTTTATTTTTAAATATCACATAATGGAAATCTTGAAAGTGACTATTTGTATCCTTTGACATTTGTAGGAATGGCAATTTCAGCCTGATGCAGCACTCTGGGAGTTTGAGGCAGGAGCATTGAAAATTCAAATTCCACTCAGGAAATTTAGTAATAACCTGTCTCAAAATAAAATGATAAATGGAAAGAGGGACTATAGCTCAGTCATAAAGTGACCTAGGATTTGATTTCTAGTAGAAAAAAAATAATGGAATGTTAGTTTCAAATTATTACTACGGCAACTTTGTCGCTTTTTACAGTTTCCACAGTAAAAAGCGATATATTAGGAATCCTCTTCTATTTCCCACTATTGTTACAGTTTTTCTCCATTTGCCAGAAGATATCTTAATAATCACAGTTAAAGATATGTACAGTAATTAAAAAAATGGAAAGTATGGAAAAGATAGAGTTTTAAAATAGTTATCTTTTATTAGTATATGTTTGCAATTCATGCAGTTTACATTCATATTTGGAGTTGTATACATATTATAACCTGTTTCTTTTTTTTTATACCCTTCCTGCCCCTCCAGTTCTCCTATCTCCTTTTTCATACTTGTTGATATTATTTGTCTTAGCTTATGTATGGCATACAGTGTTTGGGGTTAGTAGGTTCCTGTGCATGGCATATGTTCATTCTTGTAATTTCCCCTTCCCCTCCTTCTCACCCGTGCCCTTGTTCCCTTGGATTACTTCCCTATTGTAAGACATCTGTCCCCTTTCCATCCATCTTTTGTCATTTTGTTTATTTGTACTTTGCCTCATATGCTATTTAAGCTTGTGCATCTGGTTTATTTCACTCAATATTATATTTTCCAGGTACATCCATTTTCCTACGAATGTCTCAAATATGTTGCGCTTTATAGTATTCCATTATATACAGAAACCACATTTTCTTTATCTAATTGTCTATTAGTGAGTATACAAGCTGCTTCCAGTATTTAGCTGTTATGAATTGTGCTGCTATAATACTTGGTATGCAAGTATTGCTGTAATATGATGACTTAAGCTCTTTGGGGATGATACCTACATGAGGGATAGCTGGGTCAGTGGAATTTCTAATTTTAGTTTTTTTGAGAAATCTCCATACTGATTATTATAATGGCTGTACCATTTACATTCCCACCAACAATGCAGGAGGGTTCATTTTCCACCACAGCTTAGCCAACTTGTTAGTTTTTGATTTCCTAATTATTCCAGTTCTTTCCAGAGTAAGATGGAATCTTAGGGTTGTTTTAATTTACATTTTAGAGCTTTAAATTTTGATTAAATGATATTTCTGTGTGTACTTTTTACTTGGATCTTTTGAAAAAGTTAACAATGTTTTTGTATTTTAATTTTAAGCCACAATTCCAAAAGAAGTCTTTTTAAACTTAAAATTGTTTATTATAAAGCATACAAAAATAGTATTGTGCCACAAAAGCTTGTTGAGAATTCTTGGTGCATGAACAGAATTTACAGATTACTGGATTTCTGTGAAATTTGATCATAGACCAACCCCCCCCCCCCTTTTTCCTTGGCTTCTTGAAATTCCTGTCTGGGAATAGACTTGGCTGATGTATTATAGAATGGAGTGTGGTGAGTCAGAAAGGGCAAGCTGAGTCTCACCCACTTTGTGGATTGACTTCAAATGATATTCTTTTTTTCTTTACCTCTCTCTGTACTTGGAATATGCATATTCCTATATTTTTTTTCATAATTGGGGACTGAACCTAGGGCCTTGCATATACTAGGCACAGGCCCTACCACTGAACCACTCTCCTCATGTGTCTCTTACTCAGTATACCTGTGTCTCTTCCAATGATAAACTGGGGTTAGTTCTTTCTCTGCATTGGCTATCAGGTGGTAGTATCCAGGATGAGAGGTTGGGTGACCCTATGGAATTTTTGCTACTATTTACAGAATTCAGTTTGTACTTATTCTCTTGTTTTATACCCTAGACAGTATTTGTTGTCTTTAATTTATGAAACACTTCATGGTGGGTTATCTTCTTGTTGTACAGGCTCTTAAGTTTGGCATTAGTATCCTAAGCCATTCTTCATTCCTTTCAGTTGCTTTCTTTTTATATTACAATTTGGATGTTAGGAGTTTATTGGCTTCATCAAAATGAAGTAAGTCTCTGTTGTTTTCTGGTTGATTTTTGGGTAATTTGGAGATGAAAATGGGAGAAAAGGCCTTTTTGTCATGTTGAATATAGTAATCTTCAGCCTATCTTTGAAAGTTTAACTTCCACCTTTTCTTCACCTGAATTATATACTCTAGCCATCAGAGTTACTTTAAATAACTGAATAAAATATGATTTCTCAGTCTTTTGTGTTTTTTTTCATAGTAAAATAGCTTTTGTTCAAAGGGGTATAACTTTTCAATAGCAAATAAAGGACTGATGAATGTACTATTAACATTTTTAGTGGGCTGGTAGTAAATATTGCAGGCTAAAATCGTTAAATTTCATGGAACTTTTTAAAGTCTATTTTTTATCAGCACATGTTTACATTACATAGTGATTACTTTCTTTGTGCAGAATTGGTGCATGGACGTAGCATATCTCAATTCTTTTTTGTCTCCTTTCCCTTGCCTCCCTACCCTCTCTTGATCTTCCTCCAATTTGAAAAACACCTATCTTCCTGCTTTCTATTATCTATCTTTTATTTTGCTCTTGATTTATATTTTAGGTTTTTCACTTGTGAAATTTAAGTTCCTGAACCTGATTTATTTCGCTTAATATTATGGTCTCACAAGATTGAAATTTCATCTTGCTCCAGAAAAAATGGCTTAAAAATCATCAAAAAATTGAATAATAAGTGCTCATAAATTACAGGGTAAAAAAAAAAAAGAACACTTTTACATTGTTGGTGGGAATGTAAATTATTTTAACCACTATGAATATCAGTATGAATATTTTTTTCAAAAAAACTAAAGTTAGAAATTACACTTAAGTTATTCTACTTCTAGATATCATTTGAACGAGTTAGAAAAAAACCTTATGTTTATAGCAGCAGTCTTTTGTGTTCTTATGTCAACCTATGTTTATTTCCTCATGTTTTCCTGATTAATTTTTCTATATCAAGATTCAATTTAGTCTTTTGAGAATGAATTATTTATTCTCCCAAGACTGATTTAGGTTCCTTTTCTGTTTCCTGTGACATTTTTGTCCTGCTACTAATACTTTTCTGGTGTAGTTGTGTGCCTTCCAGTCTAAGTGCAGAGTTTCTTGAAGGTAAATTCCCTCATCTTTGTATACCCAAAACTTATGGTTTTTGGTGCTCAGCAACTTTTATTGAATGAATAAACCTCATTATGTAATCTTCTCAGCAATAACTTGAAAGACCTAGTGTAATATTGGATATATAATACTAGCTTGTTCATTCATTTAATGCCTGATTATTATGTAACACATAATACATGATTATTATATAATCATGTGTTAAATGCCAAGAATAGCTATCTGAAAAGCATGTAAACTAATAGTAGTTGATAAGTGCTAAGGTGCCATATTTAACTTTTTATATCTGTGCTTTAAAAAAACTTTATTTTAGGTATCACTACTGTTGATCCAAAGTACTGAGAAAGAAAATAAAATGAAGGAGTTAATATTTCTGCTAGAAGAATCCAGAGATAAAGTTAATCACTTAGAGGAAAAGACAAGTAAGAATTTATATAAGAAAATGTAATGTCATGTCTTTTTCTTGTTATGCTCTAAATTTTGGCTTTCATTGTAAGTTTGTTGTAATACTTGCTAGTAATCCTCAGCCTAGATTGGATTGGTTGAAGAGGACATAATCAAATCACTAGGGGAGCATTTTAGAAGTCATTGAAAAATATATGAATATTTATATTTTAAAAAGATATGAAAGATATGAAAAAAGATATGAAAAAGATATGAAAGAGGACTTCCAGAAGTTCTTTAAAAAGTGATAGGAACAGTGGAATATGTGTTTGAAGGAAGAGGGGCGTATTTTGAGTGTATAATGATTAATACACATTTAAAAAATTTACACTCACTTATATTTTTGATCATTCTTTGTATGCTCATCTTTTAAAAAATTTCCACACCTTTAGCCTTCTTTAAGTTTCAACAGCATGCTTCAGAAAAACAGAAATGTATGTCTTTTTTGTTTACTGATGCATTTTAAGTCCCTAGAACAGTACCTGAAGCCTAGGAAGTGCAGTACAAATATTTTATAAATTAATGAATCCAGTTTTCTGCAGAGTTTTTATGTATGGCTGCTGAACTTGTCAAGAGCTTTTTCTGCATCTGTTGAGGTGATCATATGCTTTTGTCTTTGGCTCTGTTAATACAGTGTATTACATTTATGGATTTATGTATATTGAACCATCCTGTGGTGAAATTCCACTTGATCATGGTGTACAATATTTTTGATGATTTGTTGCAATCTGCCAGTATCTTTTATTGAGGATTTTTGCATCAATGTTCATTAGAGAGATTTGCCTATAATTCTCTTTCCCTGAATCTTGCCTGTAATTCTCTTTCCCTGAATCGGGGTGGGTCTTTTGGCTCCCAGCCCACATGCCTGCTGGCTCACAGGAAGGGCAGGCTGATTTCTTGATCATCTTCCTGGCCCATAACTACTAGTTTCATTATTTTTTTATTACTTGAATTTTCCCTTGACTACTTGAAAGTTTTTGTGTTTCTGTTTTTGTTAGCAGTTGGATCAATTACTTTTCAAAGTGTAAACCTAATTAGTATATTTACCTTCTTTGGCTATTCAAGCATATTAGAGAATTAGTTCCATTTCCCATTTTCTCCTATTTTCATTCTGTAGACTGAACCTTTTTATTATTACTTTAGTCAGGTAATGTTTATATGGTTTTACCTATATAGTCTTCCTGCTCTTTTCTTTTTCTTTGTTTGTAATTTAAATTTTTACTTTTCTACTTCAAAGAAGAATCTCTTTTAATGATACTGTAAACTCTTAGATCATGTCTGAAAATTTGCTTATTGATCTTCATCCATAAAGGATGTTTTTGTTTATGTATTTCCAGGTTGGCCTTGCCCTTCTCTTTCTTTTCTTTTCCTCCACTATTCACAAGACTTAAAAGAATCAAATGAGAAGCATCAGAGCTAGAAGATATTAAAATTTTGCAAAAAAAGTGGTATGATTTAAAAATTGACTAGTGTGTAATAGGTCACATTATTAATTAGAGGCAACAGATGGACAAATACATAGAAGGAATAGTTTGTTAATCTGTGTGCCTAATTTGATTTTTCTTATATGCTTTTTTGATTCTATTTTAGTTATATATATATATAAATAGTTTAAATGCTCATCTTTGAGTTCTTGGAAGGTAATAATCTTGAAAAGAGTAAGTTTGATGGTGGCAAAGAACCTAAAAAGACTTTCTTCAAAATAAAATACACAAATGATAAAATGGTATAGAAAATATTCAGCATCATCAGTCATTGATGAAATCTACATTCATTTTAATGTCTTCTATTAATGATATGGTACCAGTATATATGTTTTAGTGTTTGTTGTCTGGTTTCCAAAATATTTATTTTCTACTTGTTGAATAGTTTTAAATTTTGATTAAACCAACTTATCAAACAAATGATTTAGTATTTTCTAATGAAATTAGCTTGTTCAGTTTCTAGTGTTTTTCTGAATTTAAGTCAAACTGTTGGCTAGATAGAAAATCTCTGTTCCCAAATAGTTGGCCATTTTCCATTATCCTCTTTATTTTCCCAAGCTGATGCAGTGCAAGCAGGTGGAAAGGGAAAATCTACATTAAATGGAATAAACAAGATATATGAACATTTTTCCCCCACAAAGTTTTATGGTCACCAATATTTAATGTGTTAATATTTGCATAATTCTCTCTTGTTTTGGACTGTTGTACAATGGAAAAAGAGTAGTTGTTACAAATAGCAATTTCTTTTGGTATGTATTTTCTATTAAGTACCACATATATTGAACTTTCTGTTTTAGAATTACAGGATGAAAACTTAAAAGAATCAAATGAGAAGAAGAATCTTTTGGCATCTGAACTAGAAGATATTAAAATGTCCTTGCAAATAAGTGTGGTATGATTTAAAAATTGACTAGTGTGTAATAAGTCACGAAATCAGTCAACAAATTTAGTGAATACTACGACCATGTGCAAGACCCATAGATTCAACTACAGAAGATACAGTCTCAGTGTACAAAATGCTTATATTAGAGATATTTGATAAAAGCACATCAAAAGTATAATTTTTTAAAACACAAGAACAACTTAGGTACCAGCAGAGTGATTCAGGCTAGTTAATTACTAAAAACAGTTCTAAGAATTAAAAGAACTCTTTGGGCTGGGTTGTATGGGAAAATTTCAAGGAGGAATTGAAACTATACATGAGATTTTGATAAAGGTAAATTGAGATAAGGTAGTGCGTTGGTATTCCTGGGTGACTAAGCGGGATGGTGGATGGGGCAAAGTGGAGGGCAGGTGGGAGCACTAGTTTATGGAGCGAATGATCTGTTTTCTTAAGGCCTTTGGGTCATTGCTTTTGTTCTTATTTCATTTAGAGTACTCAGAGGGTTTTAGAAGAAGATTTTCAGAAAGCAACAAAAGCAGCATGTCAACTTACTGAAGAAAAAGAAGCTCAAGTGGAAGAACTGAATAAAGCTAAAATTGCTCATTCATTTGTGGTTACTGAATTTAAAACTACTATCTGCAACTTGGAAGAATTATTAAGAACAGAACAACAAAGGTAAAATATTTTTTATTTAAGAAAATAAAAAATTTCTAATATTCATTACTATTTTTATTCATTGCTCTTTTTTATGTATATAGTTTCTACTTCTGAAATACATTTCAGAACTTTGTATTGGGTAGGCAGATATTATAGGAAAATAACAGCATAAAGAAGCAGGTATTCTCTAGAACAGTTCCCATACATGCTATGATCTGTAGCTTGACTGATGTAGTGATATGATATATGTTTATTGAAACTATTACCTTTATAGGCGTAATTTCTAGGATGGGAATTTATTTTACTAGGATATGCAACCTGTTTTCTGATTTATAAATTTAGCAACTATTCTGGAAAACAGTAGATATTACTCTATGCTTATTAAATTAATGGCCATGGTTGATTATGTATAACATATATGCATTTCATTGAAATAGCTGTCTAGAAGTTGAGCATTAGAAGCTGATTTTGTTATTAATGACTATTTTAAGGAGATATATATTAAACTGTTGTGAAGCTGAGGTACTTACTTTGGGGTTAATTTTAGTAGGGTAAAAGAGAAAAGTAGTTTTTCAAATCAGGGTCTAGTTCTACCAGTATTTCTTATCCATTTTTTGTGCATGAAGAAGGAGGAAAAGCCAGCTTTTGTAGCTGCATTAATCATACGTATTCTTTATTGAAGAATAAACTGAGTTCTTTATTGAAGAATAAATATGCAGACAAATTTTAAAATTATGAGTTAGATTCATCTGATCCAGTACTTCAGTGTGATAATTTGAAGAAACAGAGTCAGAGGAGTTAAGAAAATGATACTTAATTGTCATACATGTGGTGTTCTTAGGTAGAATTTAGTAATAGTTACATACGTATTTTTCGAAATTCTAGGATGTGCTAATTTATCAGTAAAGATAAATTATTACCAGTAAGCCTTAAGGTTTTATTTAGATATAGTTAATATAAAATTATGATTTGTAATAGTGTTATCTTATTCCAAAATATTATACTATATACAAAGTAAGTACTCAATATATTTAATACTGTAGTTGAGCAAATGTTTTTGCTATGATATAACAATTGATGAATTGTACGAGTTTTAGTTTTTATGGTAGATAAATTCTGACCAAAAGAATGTTTTACATTGTAAAATAACATATTTTACAAGATTGGAAAAAAATGAAGATCAGTTGAAAACACTAACCATGGAGCTTCAGAAGAAATCAAGTGAGCTGGGTAAGATTTAGACAATGCTGTATACTTTGATACTATTGGCTAATTATAAAAGATAGTTGGTAAAGAAAATTTAAATTTTAAATACTTCAGTTTTACTATGTATTTATTAGATACTGAGAGGTTTAGGGAACCTAAGAGGTGTTTGTATCCTTAGTAATTCTTAGTGAGAAATGTGTGCTATATTTTAAGTAAATTTTAAAATTTCATTGCTTAATCTTGTTGGGGTGGTAGCTACTCATAATAGGAAAATGTGATCCTATATTATCATATAGTATTGTTAATATGTATCAACTTTCATAATCAAAAGAAAGAGGTTCTATAATTATTTGTTGAATTTATGACCATTTAGTTAGATAATTTTAATGATTTATGCTTAGTATTTACAGATCTATGAATATTTACAGATCTACATATCTATGTAGAGAATTAAAAACACAAAATATATTTTTGTAATCCAAAAAAAGGATTTTTATAAAGACAGTTTATGAATTAATAGGCATTTTTCTAGAATATCTCCACAACTTTCTGCAAGCTTTATTATTAGCTTTGAATCTGTGTATAATTAAAATAATTAGAACTAATGTTACTTAAAATTTGAAATATTTACTTAATATTTCAAAAGTAGCCTTTTAGTTGGGTATGGTGGCACATGCTGGTAATTCCAGCACTCTGGAGACTGAGGCAGGAGGACTGCCACAAATTCAAGGCCATCCTAGGCTACATAGTAAGTTCAAGACAAGCCTCAGCTACATAGCAAGACGCTGTCTCAAAAAGACGCAAACAACCAAAAAAAAAAAAAAAAAAAAAAAAAAAACCAAAAATACCCTGTGTTGTTGAACCATATATATGTTTTTCTTTTTGAAATATTTTTCCATTGTTGATTAACTCATTGTCATTCAAAATTGTACTTACACAAATCAAATAATTTTATTCTAAGGTTATTTTATATTAGCATGGTTTAAATGCATACTCAACTTAAAAATCTTTTGTCATAGCATAAAGTACTGTTTTAAACCACTGCATATATTTATTTTCTTTAAAATCAGTTAATGTAAACTAAGGAGTAGTTGTGCTCCTTAAAATATGTGTATTGGGTATTTATCTGCAGCAGTTTACTCTAATATTGCAATTAATTGTCCCCAACAAATTCAGTTACATTTTGTGATTTGCTCATATTAGAGCAGTACATTATGAAAAGTTTGAGTATTGTGTAAGTAAAATATGCTTTGGAGAAATTTCTAATTCTTATGAAAGAAGTATTGAACATATAAAACCATTTAAGCAGTGCTTTGGAATATGAGGGTGACCAAGAGTTAGGGTAAAGGAAGAAGATACTAGAACTTCAATTAATGAATAATACACGATTATATTATATCACATAAAATATAAATATCTTTGTATTTTTTACATATTTATATATTTAGAATGCTCATAAATTTCTTTTTGAGGAAGAAGGGTTAGTGCTGATGCTAAGAGATAGCCAGTGATAACAATATGGACTGTAGAGACAGGAAAGGTTTTATGGAAGAGGTAAACTTCAAGGTATAGAGAGGCCTTGGATAGTGAAAGAAAGGGTAATAGAGTATAAAAAACATGTGGGAGAATAGTATTAATAGCTATATAGGGAATCAACCTTATTTACTTTTTGGCTAATAGTTTAGTTCTCAGAATCACAAATCTTGGAGGAAATTCTGTCGTTTTCTATGTGACTGCTAACTGATAATCTAGTGGTACTATTTCTAATTCTTAATATCTAATTTATAAAATACAACTAATTTGAGGGCTCCTATTAAATAACTTTTTTCCTTGTTACTGGGGATTGAACCCAGGGGCACTCTACCACTCCTTTATGCCTGGATGTTTGTATTTTTTGAGACAGAGTCTCACTAAATTGCCCACCCTGGCTTTGTACTCGTCATCTTCTGGCCTCAGCCTCCCAAGTGTATTGATATCATGCTTAGCTTTCAATAACTTGTCTTTCTGACTCTCTTTTTTGGCAGAAGATATTTGAGACAGGGTCTCAGTGTATAGTTCAGACTAGCCTTAAACTCATGCCAGTCCTCCATGTGAGTGTGAGCCTTAGGCATATGCCAAAACTTTTGAATCTTTCCCTTTTCTTTCATATTCACAGACCCAGAGCAGTGCAGGCTCCTATTTTTTCAGTTTTTGAGGTTAAGCTCATGCTTTTAGCTTAGCACAGCATGTATGTGAACAGAACACAAACTGTATCAGAGTAGCCATCAAACTGTGCTTCAGGTTACTGTAATATGTCTTGCTATTTACTAATCCTTCACGGTATTTACGCAGCTTTTATTTGCTTTACTTTTTGTTTTTGGTAAGATATCTTACCCCAGTAGCCCTCATTTTTACTATTTTATTTCCTAGCTAAACTTAATTTCTGCCTTTGAAAGTTATCTTCTTAGGTTTATATCTTGACTATAGAGTGTTTCTTTGTCATCTCTTTAGCAATCTTAATCCCAAAATCACTTTTTAATCTATGCACTGCTCAACTACAGTGTATATTCTATATCTTAATGTTAGAGCTGAACCAGACATGTTAGACCAGTACTAATTGCAGCAGTTTGAAAATCAGTCTGTTTGTAGTTTTATATACCTTTTGCTCATTCTCGGTATTGATGCTGGAATGTTATTTAAAAATTACATATCTGATTATTTTGTATTGAAAATTTAAATATTTTTATCTCATTGCCAAGTTTTAGCTCTTTAATATTAGCTGCCTTTTCATTGTTGGTTTAATGAGTAAAGGTATGCATACAAAGTAAGTGAAAGCTAACTGTAACATAAAATCATTGTCAAGTGATTCCTTACTTCCCTCCCCTATCATTCTCTCCTTCCTTACATCCCTGCCTCCCTCCATTACTCCCATCTGCCCTTCCAGAATAGATTTATTTTGGCTTATGTTTTTCTAATTTCTTTACTTGTGGCATTCACTTTGCTATGTATATGTCTCCTCCAATCCTATTGAGTTTGAGTATTGCTCTAATAGGTCTCATTGCTATGGTCATTTTTTTTCACCTGCTGTGATCATTTTGTGTTTATGTACTCATCTTTGCTTTTCTTTTTGTCTTTTTCCTTTTTATTGGTACCAGGGATCAAACTCATGATTGCCTGCTTGCAAGGCAGGCGCTTATACTGCTGAGCTAAATCCCCAGCCCCCATCTTTGCTTTTAATCTGGCTATGTAGCATATTTTTCCTTAAGTGTGTTCTAATACTTGTTTTGATTACCAGATATATAATACAGCTATTGGGTTAAGACTTACTTATTCCTGATTTAGCCTTGTATATGATTTGAGCAACAAAATAGACATTGTTTTTCCTTTTCTCATGAAATTTGCACTCTACTTAGGAGATAGAACAATTACAAATAAATAATTACAAATCAGGTGAAATGCTTGAAAGAAAAATAATGCAATATAAGAATATACTAGAACCCAGTTAAGATTTGTTGATCAGATGTGGCCTTCAGCAAACCTAAAAACGTAAATGAGGTTTAAAAGCTTGGGGTTGGAGAGGACTTTTCAGTCCAGGAAAAGTATATAAATGCTCTGAGATATTAAGGAGCTTTCTTGATTGAAGTGATTGAGTGAAAGATTTTTGTGACTGAGTATAAGAAGTATTATATGGAGAGAAATTGATAGGAGAACAGGGAGACAATTTAGATAAGATCAGAAAAGTGAATTTTGACTTTATTCTAAAAGTAAAGGAAAACTATTAAAATATTTTAAGTAAGGGAATGACAATCTAGTTTATACTTTTTTAAGACTTCCTATATCTTTTGTATTGCACATAAATTGGGTGGTAGGTGATAGGTAGCTACTGAGGAAAAGAGTGGAAGCAGACAAATGGGATTGCAGGTTGAGTGGTCCAGTCATAAAAGAAAACCACTTAAAAATAGAAATCACATCACGATTTTGCTGGCTTTTCTGGAAGGCTCATTAATTTGAAGATGGTTTCTTTTTTACTCTCTGGAAAGTTTCTTTTCAATTTCTTTCCTCATTTTTCTAAATCTTAGTGTTCAGGGCCAGGGATATACCTCAGCAGCACCGTGGTTCCTCCCTAGCAAGCACAAGGTCCTAAGTTTGATTTTTGATTACCACCCCCCCAAATAAACAACAGCAATGATAATTAAAAAAATAAATCTTGTTCTGAGAAACTCTTTTTTTAAAAAAGTCTTTCTGAGGCAGGGTTTCACTATGCAGTTCATACTGGCCTTAAACTTATTTTGTAGCCCAGAGCTGGCCTCGAACTCACAGTAATTCTCCTGTCTCAGCCTCCCAAATGCTGGAATTACAGGTGTGTGCCACCACTGTGGCATGCGTGCTTAGGTTTACCACTTCTGATATAGGGAATGGGACTCTTGATGGAGAGAATTTGGAAATTATGTATCAACCTTCATGTTATTTTTAAAACTTTGTCTTAGACTTCCTCCCCTCTTTATTCTTTTTCCTAAATATGGGGAAAAGGTTTTATTGCTTCTGTGCTAGTTATTCTTTTAACTATTTCTGTTTTACTATTTTAAAATTTCTGTTGCTGAATTTTAAATTACAAAGTGCTCTCTGGAATCTAAGATATTTGGATCATATGCTTAGTAAAATACTGCTTCTGTTTGTTCTGTTGACTTTTCCATTTAAATTTTAATTTTTCTATTAGTGAATTTGGAACTTCTCATTGTTTTTCTTCACAAGTTGGTAGTACCTGGTTATTTACTCATGTAAGCATTTGAGAATCAGTCTTCACACACGTGTATTATAATAGGATTCTTTTGAATATAGGAACTTACAGAGAGTATTGGAAGGTGAGGTGGGCTTGGTAGCTTGTCTTTTGGTATAGGGCAGTGATGGTGAACCTTTTGGAACTTTGAGTAATGAACAGCCCGCTGTGGCATGCATGCTGTAGATTTACTACCACTGGTATAGGGAATGGGAATGTTTTTCTTGCTTGGGGATAATGAGCTGCTTGGGACATGATAGTGTCTTTGGTCTTAGTTCTCAGAATTTTTGCTTTAAATTGAGATATGCTTCGTGGTAGGAGGTGTGTTTCCCTGGTTTGGTTGTTCCACTAGCCTCATCTCTCGTCAAGAGTTCTTTAGTTATCTGTTTTGTTAATGGTAGTTCATCTTGTTTTGGTAATGTTATTTCCTGTTTTTCTTTTTTCTTCCTTTGTATTTCTTCTAATTTTATGGGATTGAGGTGAGAGTATAGAGTTGCTCAGTCCATTGTTTTAAACCAGTCCTCAAGTTTTTAAAGATTATTTTTACGTAAAATGAAGCTTTCTGCTTTTTACATATGACAGGTTTTAAAAAATTCTATATTGACATTGTATGCTTTTTTTTTATTTTAAAGAGAAAAAAGAAAAATCAAGAAGCAACATGAAAAAACAGTAATAACAAAAGGAAAATCACAACTGAAAACAATAATAGCAATACAGATTTTCAAAACAAGATGATAGTTGAATGGTGGTTGTTACATTTCGTATTGTTATCTTCAAAATAATTGCTCAGGTTACCAGATACAGGAATAAAACAAAACAGTAAAATAGAATAAAACTGGATTTCAAAAACAAGATAGAAGGAAATCTCTCACAGTTGTCACAGTATACACTGCCTTCCTCCAAATAGATGCCCAGATCAGCACCCCCAGGCTTGCAAAGTCAGTCAAACTGTACAGTTATCAAGCTGTTCCTTTCACCTCAGTTACTATCACCTCACCCTGAGTCCTCTGAATCAGCCAGTTGCTTACAAGACGGGGTGTGGTGTATGAATACGCTTGCCGGTTTTCCAGCTTGAGCACTGGCTGGCTCATGGGAAGGCGTGGTTTGTCTTCTTGCTGAGTCTCTTCCCAATCAGTTGCAATTGTTTTTCTTAAAGATGACAGATAGTTATTACAAATGTTACTTTAAAATGCACAGCTTGAGAAAGTTTTCATAATTGTTGTATTTCCAATAGTTAATAACCCTTAACATTAAGGAAAGACTGTATTTCAGACAGTACATTTTCTTCTGTAGGCAGTTAAAAAGGTAAGGAGATAAAATGAGAGATTTGGGCTATAAAGATTTTCAGTTCCTTAACATACTACTGAATTCATGGAAGCATAGAGAAACATTCTAAAGCACTATTATTTAGGACAGCAAGAAGGATGTGTTGACAAAGAACAGGAGTATGAGGTAAAGTGGAAATATAAAAAATGAATAGAGTCTTTATAATCAAAGGAAAAAAGCAGGGAGTGGTTAATAGTTTCAAGTACTACCAGGTTTAATAATGATGAAAATTAAGGATTATATCACATTGTGATTATTGCTGATTTTTTGTCTTTGCAGTACTAGAGATTGAACACAAACCTAGTAGCTTCCTACTGAGCTATAACCCAAACTCTTTTTTTTTATTTTTTGAGACACAGTCTTTCTGTTACCTAGGCTGGGTTTGAATGGCCTTAGTCTTATGCTGGATGAATGACATGTGTCACCACTATTGTTGATCTTTAAGAACATGATTTTATTAGTATCATGGAGATACGTATTAGTTTTGTGAGAAAAAGATACGTAGTTGACAACAGAAATTTGGAAAACAAAATGAAAAATCTGAAAATATTTTGAAAGGGCAAGAAGGTTAATTACATAATTTTGTTTTACATTCAAATGGGATATTTAAGTGGAATAGGAGAAATATTTTTTTTCCTTAGAGTGGTGAGAATTTGTAATATAGCACCTGAGGTAATAAAGAAGGTGGGGAATGGAAAATCCAAACAGCAGTGTTAACATATTGAGAAAAGATCACTTTTAAGTTTGGAGTAAATATTAAGAAGTTAGGTAGGTTTAGATAGTGATAAATTGAAGATAAGGGAACTAGCTGACCTCATTCCAAACATATTCTATGTAGACCTATTGCTTATGTTTTTATGAACTTTGTACTCATTTTGCTGTGGAATTTTTATTAACTTGTTACTGCCATTTTACTTTTGTATAGTTGGTTTAGACTTGTATGCTGCTTTTCTGTTTTACAGAGCTCTAGTTGCATTGATGTATCTCTTGATTTGTTTCTCCTTCAGATGGCATTGTTTTCTGTCTTGTCTTTTCTTTTAATCCAACTTTTAACACACATGTATTATTTTGCTTTTTAGAAGAGATGATTGAGTTTAAAAACAACACAGAAGTAGAAGTTGAAGAATTAAAAAAAGTTGTAGTAAGTATATCACCTTTCCTATTAATACATAGCAATAACTTTTCAAAATAATATTGAATCCACTGAATTAGAACATCACAGTCTAAATGTTTCATACTACTTTTCACCTAAAATATGAAAAATGATTATACATAAAGCTATACGATATAATTTTTATACATTTTGTTAACTGTTCATCAAGGAGTTCATATTATTTAAATATGGGCTGACAGCACATTTAAATAAGATTGAATACACACACACTTCTGTAGCTGATTATAAATTTAGTCCTTTGGGGTGTTGTACACCAAAGACCCAGTTTTGAAAAAGATATGCATGATATTTATTCAGTACTGAAGAGTAGTGTTAAGATGTCTACTGAGTTTGTAGGATAAGGCTTTATTACATTTTAATTCATTACAGTGTAGAGAACATGAGTTCTCATGTGTGTGTGTGTGTGCTCCCTAGCAAATCCAAGACCTTGCACATGGCTGGGTTAGGCTCTACCAGTAAACTAGAGCCCCGACCCGGCAAATTTTTCTATAGAACATCAGTAAATATTTTAGACTTTGTGGACTGTATTTTATCAGCCATAATTGGTTTTCTCCTTTTTCCTCCCTAAGTTCTCTATTTTCTTAACCTTGTAAAAATGTAAAAACCATTCTTAGCCAAAGATCTAAAAAAAGATATTGTAGGCTGAATTTGTCTTGCAGGCTATAATTTGCTGGCTTATTTTATAGGGGACGGTGTTGTTTATGATTACAGACACTGGATTTTGTGTTTACTTATCTCATTTGTAACTCCTAATTCTTTTATCTTTTAGGAAGCATTATTTCTTCATTGAATTGATTTAACTCTTGTAATTTATAATAATATCTTATATTGGTTTAACATTTGCTGATGAATACTTGTGCAAGTCTTTGCTTAACTGTCATTGTTTTAGGAAGCCTCTCTTGATAGATCAAGCTATTTCCATAGCACCCTAAATATTTGTTGTACAACATTTATCACAAAGGATAATAATTTATTTTCGATATAATTACTGAAGACTTTATTATTGAGACTCTGCCTAGAATAATGCCTGGCATATTGTATATGATTAATGAGTGAAGAATAGGTGTGGTTTGCACCCATCAGTAGGCTTGTAACTTAGTTGGAATATAGAGACAGAAAGAAGGCAAGCCACTGCTTTGTTGCTTTGCTGTTTTCTACCTGCCATGTCATAAACTGTTTCTTCTCTGTGATGCTAGCTCTTCAAACTGAGCTGAAATAAATTTTCTTCTTTAACTAGTGGGTATACGGTGGTTTGTCCCAGCTATGAGAAAAGTAACTAAAATAGCCATTAACATCCTTTAAAATTGTCTAAATGTTGACATGTTTCAGTTAGATTTATGATTTTATAACCTGTTTATTTGTTTTGTTTTTCTTTTTTCTGCTATCTGTAGGTTATTCAGATATGTTTTAGTATCCATGTTAATGTATATATTGGTATTTTCTCTGTACTTCTCTAGTTTCTGTGGTTAGTCCAGGGATTATAATATCCATTCTTTGTTTATAGTGAATTATTTCCATTTCATAAAAATGTTGAAACTTTTTGACTGTATGTATCTATTTTAGTAGAGTTGTTTTATATATTACACTTAAATACATTTACATCTTTATAAGACAGTGCTAATAGTTTTGCTCTAAATAGCTGTGCTTTTTAAAGAACTAAAGGTGAATATGTGGTCTTTTATATTTAATCTGTGACTCAGTTTTGAAAATTTTAATTTTTTTATTAGAACATGTTTGTCATACATAATAATTATAGTCATCATAGGGAATTTGGACCTGTACATAATATATATATATATATATATTTTTTCATTTTCCCTCCTACCCCTTCAAACTTTTCTGGCTTTCCTTTTCTTTCTTTCTTTTTTTTTTTTTTTTTTGTCTTTTTCCTTTTTATCGGTACCAGGGATCACACTCACGACTGCCTGCTTGCAAGGCAGGCGCTTATGCTGCTGAGCTAAATCCCCAGCCCCCTCCTTTTCCTTTTTAAAAAACTCTTTTTCTCTTCCTTCTCATTTGCCTCCCCCTTGTTTTCCTGCCCATTTGAACATGTTCTTTCTACTTACAAAAATCTGTCCTCCATTTTTCTGTTTATGTACCTTTTGCATTTCTCACGCAAGAAACAATATGATATTTAAGCTTGCATGTCTAATTTATTCCACTTAAAATTATGATATCAAGGTACATCCAGTTACCTGACGATGTCTTAAGCTTATCCTTTTTTGGCAGAGTAATACTCAGTTGTGTATAGCAAAGTAGTACTCCATTGTGTGTAAATATCACTTTTTCTTTATCCATTCATCTGTTGGTAGGCAGCTTTATTTTAGGCTAGGCTTGGCATCACAGTCTCCAGGAGCCAATTGGAGACTGCGTGCCTTACAGTTAGAAAGGTTGGGTTTTAAAGCCGAAAACCACAGGAATGTTGTAATCTCTGACACAGGTAGCATCTGGGCTTTATAGAACTTCCTGTAATTTCCTTGAAGTTAATCATTTCTTAAAGAACAGCACATTTTATTACAGATAGCCGGATGAGGGGTAGGGGAGGAGGTTACAGGAAACTGATACCTAAGGGTTTTACAGCTTTCTCAGGAAATTGAAACTTAACCTAGAAAGATAGGAAGGGAAGGGGATTTACAAGGAGCTGAAACCTAAGTCTTTACTGGAGATGGAATTTTAATCTCTATTGAAATGGCACATGCAGAACAGGAAGGAGGCGCAAGGGTTAAAACTAGGCCATAACACACTGTTTATTAAACAGGCTGTCTTTCTTTCAGCGAAGATGTTTGGCTTCTTTGTTGAAAATAAAGTATCCGAGTGTGCTTGGGATTATTTCTGTATCTTCTGTTCCTTTGATTCTTGAGTGTGTCTTTTTGCTGTTAACATGGTGTGTTTTATCATGACAACTTTGCAGTATCACTTCAAATCAAGGATTGTGATATTCCCAGCCTTGCCTTTGTTACCCAGAGTTGCTTTTCTGTGACTCTTCGGGTTCCAAAATTCTGGTTCCTGAATTTTAGGAATGTTTTCTCTAATTCAGTGAGGAATGCTATTGGTATTTTGATTGGAATTGCATTAAATCTGTATAAAAGTTTGAAAGTATGAGCGTTTTCACTATATTGGTTCTGCTATCCAAGAACCAGAGGCATTTTTCCATTTTCTGATTTCCTCTTCAGTCTCCTTTTTCATAGTACTATAGTTTTCAGTGTAAATATGTTTTACTTCCTTAATTAGACTGATTCCTAAGTATTTCCTTTTTCTTAAAGCTATTGTGAAAGATACTGATTCCCTAACTTCTCTCTGCATGAGTTTGTTATTCATGTACAGGAGTGCTTATTGATTTTTGATTGTTGACTTTGTATCCTGCTGTGTTTGCTTAATCTGTCTACCTTTCTCTCTCTGTGTGTGTCTGTTTCTTCCTCTTTCTACCTCTCTCTCTCTCTCTCTCTTTCTGTCTTTCTTTCTTTCTGTAAGGTCTCACTATGTAGTTCAGGCTGGCCTTGAACTAGCAGCCATCCTACTGCCTCACCCTACAGAGTGCTATCACAGGTTTGCGCTGCCATGCCCAGCTGAATTTCATTATTAAGTCTTGGAGTTTTTTAGTAGATTTTTTGGGGTTTTCTATGTATAGTATCATGTCATCAGCAAATAATAATTTAACTTCTTTCTTCCCTATTCATACTCCTTTTATTCTTTTTTCATGTTTAATTGTTCTGGATAATGTTTCCAGAACTATATTGAACAGGAGTGGTGATAGGGATCCTTGTCTTGTTCCTGACTTTAGAGTAAAAGTTTTCAGGTTTTGACCATTTAGATGAGATTGACTGTTGGTTTGTCATAGATGGCCTTTATCAGGTTAAGAACCTTCTCTTCCATTTTTTTAGTATTTTTTATCATGAATAGGTGTTGGATTTTTGTCAGATGCTTATTTTTTTTGCATCTATCGAGGTTGACTGTGTGGTTTTTGTTCTTGGTTTTGTTAATGTGGTGTATTATATCCAGTAATTTTCATATGTTGAGCCACCACTGTATCCTTAGGATAAATCCTACTTGGTCACGGTGTATAATCTTTTTGATGATTTGTTGCATTCTGTTTGCCATTATCAATTTATTGAGAATTTTTGTAAGTATATTCTTTGAAGAGATTACCCTGTAGTTCTGTTTTTGTTGTCCTTTTCTGGTTTTGGTATCAGGGTAATGCTTGCTTCCAGAAATGAGTTTGGGAGTATTGCTTCCCTTTCAGTTTCATTAAAGACTTTGAGGAGTAGTGGCATTAGATATTCTCTAAATTTCTTAGAAAATTCAGCAGTGATCTGTCAGAACCTGAGCTTTTCTTGGTTTGTAGTTTTTTTCTATTACTTCTTGAATTTCATTGGTACTGGAATGTTTATAGTTTTTATAGCTTCTTGATTTAGCTTTGGTAATTCACATGTATCTAGGAATCTATCCATTTCTTTTGAATGTTCATTAGAGTACAGGCTCTCAAAGTAGGTACTGATGATCTTCTGGATTTCTGCATGGTCTGCTTTGATTTTACCCTTTGCATTCCTAATTGTATGGATTTGGGTGTTTTCTTGTTTTAAGAAAGAAGCAGAAAACAAAACTAAAATGTTCATATTCACACACTCAAAAGAAAATAATATAAAAATTTTTAAAAGACCAAAACAAAGAAAAAAGAATCTTTTGTCTGATTTCAAGCCTATAATTATCTTATGGGGTCTGTAGTTCTGCGGCAGTGATCATTTCAAGGTGTGAATCTGCTCTCACTGTTTGTCAAGGGAGGCAGTCAGAGCCCAGATCTGTGCTGGATAATCATAGTAAACTGGCAGTAGGCTTAGGGTGGAGTGCTGGTTTGGAATTTTGAAACTTACAAATTCAGGTTGAATCTGGCCTCTGATCATGGTGTGGGACTTGAGTGTTTAGCTTATAACACTCTGGTTGTCTCTTAGCAGCCCAACCATAGCTCCCTGACCATAGATGTCTCCTGGGGTTGTCTCTTCCCCAGCCATTGTTGGAGTTTATCACTGGGAGTCCTGAGATGGAGCCAACCTGCCGTTGCTTTTAGTCCTAGGTTCATTTGCCCCTCTCTAAAATGGCACCTGACTAGGCACTGTCTTCAGGGTATATGGCAAATGTTTGGATTGGAGTTACTCACTTGCTGTTGTAGAGCATAGCATCCATTTTTGGATACAGAATTCTGTATTTTGTATATCGAATTCGTGTTTTTTTTCCCTTTTATTAGCACCTTAAAGATGGTGTTTTGTTTTCTTCCATCCTCCATGTTTTCTAAGTAGAAATTCACAAATATATTGTCTAGATTTTTCTCTTTAACTTCAGTTTTTAAGCAATATATAACAGAAGTTATTTTTTTTAGTTGAGATTAATAGCTCTTCCTAAATTCGTAAATTGTTAACTGTTCAAATATGGGAAGTTCTGGCTATTAGTTCATCAAGTACATAGTTTTGTTTATTTCACTATATTTTCTTCTTGGCATTGCATTATTATGCATCTGTTTCATTTTTTATATTGTTTTACAGATTCTTGAGTGCTATACTTTTTTCTCAGTTTGATATTTCTCTTCTTAAGGTTGTTATCATTTCTATTTCCCCCAACACTGAAATTCATTTTTACTTTCTGTATTCTCCATTGTGCTCTTAAATCCAGCTGGTAATTTTTTCTGCATTTCTAAAATTTCTGTTTGGCTCTACTTTTGTTTCTTTATATTTCTTTTTTTTATTTCAAGACTATTTCCTATACTTGATTTAGTATATTTATAATAGATATATTAAATCCCTCATTTGATAAAGTTCTTACATCTTGGTCATATTGGGGTTACAATACGTTGGTTGCCATGAAGTTTGCATTCATATTAGGGAGTAGATGCTTGTACATAACACAGCTCAGTTTCTTTTTCTACCCTTTCTCCCTTGCTCCTTCTCTAAATCTCCTTTCCCCATTTTCATTATTCTTGTTTTTAGTTCATGTTTATGACATACAATGTTTATGTTCATTATATATATTTAGTGACACTTCTTAAATCTGTTTAATACCTTCCCCTTCCTTGTGCCCTCATTTTCCCGGACCCCTCCCCATGTGCAAAAGATCTATCTCCTTTGTTTTGCCCTTTATTTGTAGTTTGCCTTACTCAAATGAGAGCTGCCAAATAAGAGCTGTTTAAACTTGTGTCTTATTTCTTTCACTTAATATTATACTTTCCAAATACATCAAAGATTTTGAATTGTGTAAATATGTAACTAATTCAATTTTAAAATATTTTTGTGCTATTTTATATATACATTGTTTATGTTTGGGGAGGAGTCTCATAAAAAGGCAGTTTAGTGCTACACATAGAGTAAAGAAGAGTTTAAAATTTACTTCTGCAGAAGGGCATGAGTGCACTCAGGAGGCAGCACGTGTATCAAACGTGCTGGGAAAGAGTGGTTTTAAGCCCTAATGCATGGGAAATAGCTGAACATTTCCCCATTGGCTGGCTGGAAGGTTCACAGCCTGTCCTAGTTAGCTGGTTTTAAGTGGGCAAGAAGAATGCCTAAGGAGTTTCTGGACAGATTGTTAAGGCAGGGAGGAGTGAGAGGTGAGAGAGAATATGGAGAGAAGGTCTTTGGCTATTGATAAGCTATCTTGATCTGTAGCTGTATTCAAAGAATTTAAACTGAGTAGGCATTTCCCAAAATTTTAGTTTGTTTGGAGAGGCCACCTACGATGGACAAGTCAAAGGTGGACGCATTCTTGTTTATATTATTTGATAAAAACACATTTTCTCACACATATAATTTGCACAAAATAGTGTAAGGAGTAAAAATATATTTCAACATTTATTGTATTTGAGCATAGAGAAGTCACTAAAAAGGTGGCTGTTATCAGTCTGTCTCTATAGTCATATAATAAGCCCTTGTCATGTCATTTGTTTTGGAATAATAGTCTCATAACTGATACTATATTAATTCTACTTAAGCTTTGTTTTGTACTATGGCTAGTATTTTCTTTTTAGATTATAAGTATGATTGTTATATTGCTGTATCAAAACTTTTGATGATTCTATGTTGCTTATAGATAAAATTAAAGTTCTTTATGTAGTTTGTAGTTCTGATGCAAAAAGAAGAAGACCTTTTTTGATTAGGCCTTTAATTCTTGTGATTTTATGCTTGAGTAAACAAAGCAAAAATTGAGTTCATAAATATATATTGTTTGGTAGCAGAAGAGATGACAGAAGTTAAATTCCCATAACTAAAGAACTCATGGTTGTTTTATAATTTTCTATTTTATAAAATTGTGCTATCTATAATATGATAGTCATTATTCATTGTAGTTATTATGAGGTAAATTAGTTAAAAATAAAATAAATTTAATATATAGTTTCTCAATTGTAGTAGCCATACTTGGAGTACTCAGTAGCTATCATATTGCACAGCACAGAAAACACTAATTGCAGAAAGTTTTATTGTATATGACTTGTACACAGAAGAGGTTGACACACTTTTTTTTTTGTCTTTTTGAGACAAGGTCTTACTGTACAGTTCAGGCTGGCCTTGAGCTCACATTGTAGCCTATGCTGGTCTTGAACTTGCAGTGATCCTCCTGCCTCAGCCTCCCAAGTGCTGGGATTACAGATGTGTGCCATCACACCTGGCTTTTTTTTTTTTGTACAAACTTTTTAAAGGTAAAAAAGTCATTGTTAAATTTTGCACTTTGGGGCATTATGATCCCTGTTTCAGCTATTCATTGCTGTTATAGGGCAACCTAGGTATACATAGTATATAAATGAGTAGATGTGTCTATATTAAAGTTTGTTTTTTTTAATAAAAAGTAGGCTGTAATTTGTTGATTCTTGGTCTAGGACATTAGAATAATTTTTTTTTCTTTTTTGGTACCAGGAATCAAATTCATAACCTTATGCTTGACAGGCAGGTGCTGTGCAGCTGAGCTATATCCCCAGACCCTAAGTTAAATTTTTGATTGAGAAATAATTGTACATCTTTATGGGGTACATAATGGAAATTCAGTACATGTATACAATGTGTAATAATAAAGTCTGAGTACTAAGCATCTTTGTCTCTTCAAAATTAATTTTGTATGTTGGGAATTTTGTACTCTATAATCATTTTGAAGTATATTATAAATTGTTTTAACTTATAGTTACCCTACTATACTATATGAAAACCAAAATAATTCACCTACACTGAGGGAATGGGACAATGAGAGAGTTTTTAATATTTAGGAGAAAACTTAGATCATAGTAGCTCTGCAAATATTTGCCAGTTATGTGAAAAACACATTAAGACTTCTGCTATATGGTTATGGAAGGAAGAATAATGATTTCCATAAAGATTACAGGGTGTTAGAATTTTCTGGTGCAATAGAAAAGTGAAAATTAAAAAACTTAAAGAATGCATTTGCTAAGGATGTGGAAACGAGCACACAACCGTGGCAATTGGGCTATTCTCCTTCCACCAGATACAGAGAGGCAGAGGGTTATGTGACCTCTGATTGGAAGTGGCACATGGGGTGGACATGACTTGTGAGGAATTAACTGGAATTTTCTTCATGCTTAAATGGGAAAGGGAGTTACAATTAGGGCTGAAGAAGGAGGAAGTGGTAAGCATTTCCACTTTGGCCTTCTGCCTTGTTAGATCACTGCCATAATGTCCTGTAATTCTAGGGCAAAACTTTCACAGGGTAGCATATTTTACTGCAATATAAATACAGAAAGAGCTTTGATAGAACAGTGAGTAACTGGCTACTTGCTAATGCGCTTGAATGATTTATACATAAAGTTTGAATTTAATGACCTGTATGATTTTTGAAGCAAAATTTTATGCCTCTTGTTTCACAGCTATCTCCATTAAATTCTTTGATAGTTTACTAATAATGACTTATTTTCTCTTTGTAAAACGCTTTAGTCAAGAACTCATAGTTCTTTCCACAGCTCTGTTTGGACAGTTTAGTTATTTTGAGTATGTATGTAGCTTGGTGCTCATGATTTGTTAATATTTTTAAATAGGCAGAAAACCAAAAGCTTTTAGATGAAAAGAGACAAATTGAGAAGATTATTGAAGAACTGAAAGGAAAGGAACAAGAACTAACTGGGCTTTTACAAATCAGAGAGGTTCGTTTAAGGATTTTTTTGTTCATATGTATGTTAATAGAATATAAATTTACAGGATATATATAGATAATTGCTTTGTAAAAGATTTCACAAATTTTTGTGAAACCTCTTTTATAAAAGAATGTGTTTTTGACATGCCTATAATCCCAGCACTTGGGAGGCAAAGACAGGAGGGTTGTGCAAGGCCAGCTTGGGCTACATAGCTGTCTCAAAAAACCAAACAACAACAACAAAAAACAAAACAAAAAAACCAAAAACGTATTCTTCTTTCAAATGCTAATGATTGATTCGAGTATGATACCTTCTTGTTATAGTGTGAGAGAGAAAAATCAACACTTAAGAAATTGACCTTATGCATAATTCTTTGGTTTATGAAAACTGTAGTCTTGATGTTTTTAGTATTTCTAGCATGCACATTAGAAATTTAGCCTTTGTTGAGTTTATGTTCTTAGTTTATATTTTTATAGTACTCATTGTATAACTTTGGAATTTGTCTATTTTAAAGTGTATTTCTAGTCCATGACAGAATTGCAGCTCTCTTTTTATAATAGTAAGAATATCTTAGTTTTTAAAAATAGTACCTGGTTTCATTAATTAACATTTTTTTAATGATAATGATGTTTTAATTGAAATTACCAGGTAGAGTGAAATTCATAAAAAGTATTTTGTAATATATAATACAATTTTTCTGTTTGAATTTCAGAATATCAAGTAGAATTTACTTGTCTTGTATTTTTCATTGCTCATTGTTTTTAAATTAAAATGATTATCCTATGAAGTCTACTTCAATTTTAAATATTTGATATATTTTGCCAAATTTTTGCCCAGTACATTACTTTAATTCCTTTAATTCCTTAGAGTAATCATATCTTTTAAATGAAAACAATTGGGAAAGTGTTTGCCGTATTTATATATTTTTTTCAGAAAGAAATACATGATTTACAAATACAGTTAACTGCCATTACTGCAAGTGAACAGCATTATTCTAAACAGATTAAAGATATGAAAGCTGAGCTTGAAAAAGAGAAGTATGTTTTCCATATACCTATATCTAGTTTATGTACCCACATACTAAGTTATCTGGTAATAAATAAATTATTGAATTATTTTCAATATTTACAGGTATGAATTTGAAATTGCAATTTATTCCTAATTGGAAATCAGAATAATTTACCAGTTTTTTTGCTAAAGCAAATATATATGTATCATTGGCATGAAAGTACCTATAACAAAGGTTAATTCACTTTGAAGATAGCTATATTGTTTTCCCTTGCTATTCATGGGGATGGGATCTAGGACCCCTGAGTATTCCAAAATCTGTCTGTTCCGGTTCTTTATATAAAATGGGATATTATTTGCATATAACTTGTGCATATACTCTCATATGCTTTGAATTATCTCTTGCTTATAAAAACTAATACAGTGAAAGTATTACATAAACGGTTATTTATTGTTCAGGAAATAGTGACAAAAATCTGTATGTTCAGTACAGATCCAATTTTTTTCCTGAATATTTCCAATCTGTAGTTGGTTGGCTCTATGAATGTAGAACATATGGATACAAAGGACTAACAGTATTGTTTTTATGGAGGTATTCATTTTCTCATAAAAATAATTATTTGCAGTTCTAAGTATTTTTTGGGTAAGTTATTTCAAAGGTTGTACTAATAAAAAGTAAAAATACAAATTTATTTCTTACATTGTCCAAATATTTAATTGAGTGATTTAGTTTACTCAATAAGTTTAGTTTGGAAATAAAAGTATGGGTAATTATCACATTATTACTTAGAATTAATTTCAAGTAGCCAGTTTGGTGGTGAGCATGATTTTTTTCTCTTTTGGTTGCCTCACAACTGTAGAGAAAAATGAAAAGTAGTTTATTGAACAGCCTATTCCTTTTTAGCTGCCATTCCTTTCTTCTAGTACTGTGCTAACAGTGCTTTTTTAGAATTTCTTGAGTAAAATGCATCTCTATTAATCAGCTTTCTTTTAATGAATGGAAGGTTTGTTATTCATACTGTAGTGTAGATGTGTTATTCCTGTTATATTTGCTTTTTCAATCTGTCATTGCGTGGTAAAGAACTTTATTTCTTCTTTGATGAATTAAGAGTATTACTAAATAGGAAGAGATAATAGGTATTTCTGGAATCATTCAGTAAAACAACACACTACCTTTTCTTCATTAAAATTGATTATGTCTTAACCTACTTGCAATGTAGAACATTGGAAACCTTATAGGAGTAGTTTAGTGTTGTGCAAAACTAGAGTTAGTTTTATTTTTATGAAAATATTTTAATATTTATGCCTCATTCCTACTGTGATCAAATTATCAGAAGTTTGTAACAATTTTTGAGACAAAAAATTACATGAAGAAAAGCATACCCTTCACAATCTGTACGAAATTTTTCAAGAATGAGGGTGGGAAATATGCAAGGAAATCTATTTTCTGATATTTTGACAGTGTTGAAAATTTTCAAACATACAAAACAGAAGGGATGAATCCATCATACTTCTTCAGAAATTATTAGCTAGTAGCCAATCTTTTATTTATAACTCCTTTCTTCCTTTCTCCTAAGATTATAATATCATGTAATGTCATTTTATAACTTCATATATAAATACCTTGGTATGAATTTTTAATAATAGGCTTAAGAATACTGAATTAACTATAAATTGCACCAAGCTGTCACTTGAGAACAAAGAACTGGCACAAGAAACAAGTGATATGGCCTTGGAACTCAAGAAACAGCAAGACGATATTAGTGTAAGTTGAAAAAGTGACACATTTTTCTTACCTGTAAAATCTGCAGGTTTTATATGAATTGATAATATCAAAAGACTTTAACAGCTTTATTAAAATACCAATATTTTAGAGCTGCTACTTTGTTTAGAAGAAAAATGTACATATTAATTTTAGGTGTTGCTCATGGTTAATAGAATATGGAGGCTGCTTGGATAAATTTTACTTTAAACATTAAGGTTTTTATAAAGTACTTAGTCAATAAGTATGTTGAGTCATAGATTCTACAGTGATTAATACTTTTATAAAGTACTTAGTCAATAAGTATGTTGAGTCATAGATTCTACAGTGATTAATACCATGATTAATACCATGATTAATACCATGTTCTTTCTCTTAAAGAGCTTTTGACTTAAAAGAAAGAACAACAAATATTCAAGTAACTTAAAATAGTATAGGTGCTGTCCCTGAAGCAAGGTGATATACAGTTCATAGGATACTCCTGTTTTGGTGGAAGAGAAGGCTTCAGGGAGAATACAGCACTGATGTTAGCCTTAAATTACGAATTATTAGATCTGTAGGTAATGGAAATCATTCCTTGAACCAGAACACAGCAATATAGGCTTCTAGGCTCAAAGTATCACTTGAAAATAAAACATGTTTTGCTAGCTGGAAAAAGAGATAATTAAGAGAATAATTAATGTAAGGCTGGAAAATAGTGTGAAATTGTCAAATTAAATAACCCATTGTGTTTCTTTGAATATAAATAAATTTTGTGGTGGCAGGTTAAAGTTTTAACTTAAGTTCAGTTTTACTTTCATTTAAGCAAAATACTGAAAACAATATTCTTTCTTTAGAATGGCAAAAAGCAAGAAGAAAGAATGTTGAAACAAATAGAAAATCTGGAAGAAACAGAAATACAATTAAAGTAAGACTAATCAGTTGGTATTTTCTGTCTGGCAAAAGATTCTGATATTTTAGCTTGTTATGGTTTAGATTAAACTTATGTTGAATACTATGTAGAATAAAAAATTAAGTTTAAATTACTGTTTTGAAATCCTGCTTACTAATAAAATCATATCTTTTTATACTGAGTGTTGAAACATTGAAATTAGATGAAAATTAATTTTAAACCATCATAAACTTTCTAGTTCTTCAGTATTTAATTTAGAGGATACACTAGTCATATTACAGAAAATTTAAAAGTATTTTCAAGTTATTCCTAATAAATCACATCAAATATTATTTATGCCCACTTCATATATTAAAGAATGTTTTATTCTTGGTTGTAATTCTTGATATATAATTTTATATATGACTTTCTATGTAATACTGTTTTATGCTTCATGTTTGTAGGTGTTTTCACAGTCGTCTGTTTTAATATCTATGTACTTAAATGCTAGTCAGCCTAGTAGAAGTAATATTAACTTTAGTTTTTACATATTTACATTTTTCATCTTTTCACTGTCATAAATAATTCTGAAACCAAAATCTTGACAATACAGATACTTATTTTGAATTTGATGTAGGATACGTTTCAAGCAGTGGAATTTATGAGGTCAAAGAACTAATGATTTCCATGACTTGATGATCAAATACTCTCCAATAGGTTTTCTCAGTTGTAAATGATGCAGTATTGACAATATTGCATGAAAATGTTGGTTCCAAATATTTTTGTTGTTGACTAATACTATTAATTTATCAACAATGTAACAGAAAGATCTCATTGTTCTTATGATTTGTAATTTATATGTTTTAGATAAACTTAAATTTTTCAGTTTTGCTTATTAGAATTTCTTCTTCTAAAATTATCTGCTTATTTCTATTCTTCATTAATGTTTTGAGACCTTTATTGTTATACTGACTTGTTTAATCACTGAAAATTTTCATCCCTTATGTTTTAGTCATAGCATATATTTTCTCTAACCTATTACTTTTCCTTAACTTCGAAGAGCTCTTTATTATACAGAGATTTTTTTCATCTTAAATTTGATTGCTTTTAAAAAACTTTTTTAACCATTGCTTCTACACTTAAAATTCCTTGGCTTCCTGGAATTATGTATTAATCTTTTCTTCAGTTCTTTAAAAAAATGTGTATATTGATATATTAGTTTACTTTTCTCTTCTAAATAATAAAGTTGATTCCAGTTACCACTTCTGAACACAGTTATGAATTTATGACATGTTTGATAGGCAGTTTCATATTCATTATTTTCCGAATAATCTGTTTTTGTATTTTAAGTTTCCTTTGATTTATTTTTCAAAATTTTTTGTTTCCTTTTAATCCATTGGTAATTTAGATTATTTTCATGTATTTTGGGGCTCTTATTTGTACTTACACTGTACTTATTTCATTCTTACATTTGGTTAGTGGTCTTTAAAACTCTCATTTTAAATTATTTGATCTCCTTTAAGACCTAATACTTTTTCTTCTTAGAACTGATGATTATTGTATATGAGGTATTATGAATAAGTGTTGAGCGTAGTACCTGGCACCTAGTACCTTAAAATTATTGTTCTTATTTTACAGATTTAGAAAGTTTCATTATATCTATAAATGATTTCTTTTGTCCTTTTTACTCAGTTTTCTTCTTTAGCAGTCCATCGCCTTAGCCACTCAGCCACCTCGATCGCTTCGATTTTCTTCTTTAAAAGCCGCAGTTATTCACTGTGGGAGGCTGAGGGAGAAGAATCGTGTTTGAGCACAACCTGGGCAACTTAGTGTCTCAGAGTAGTGCTGGACACTGCAAAGCCTTGGGTTCATTCTCAGTACTGCCAAAAATTTCTGTATTTTTTAGTTGAATATCTTCAGTGAAGGCACTATACAATTTAGAGGTAAAATGTGAAGATACATTTTAAAGAGAAAGACTGCTTTTTAAAAAGTACAGTATTCATATTATTTGGATAATATCTTTTTGTACCAATATGTACCTATTGTAAGGGCTTACGGACTCTAAATATGTACTTATGAATAATAAGAAAATACTGGTTACAAATTTAATCGCAAAAAGTAAATACCCAGTATTCATTTTTTACAGGGCCAGTTATTCTCTAATTACACCCAGCAACAACACATCAGTGGTAACATGAGAGACTGCAGTTAGAAAAATAGCTTCAAGTATACATATGAGAAAGATAAAAGATAAAATTTTAATTAAAGCCTTTTTAAAAGAATATTACCTGCATATGGTATGAAATTCAAAGGAACAAAGGAATACAGGGGAAAGAAAAATATGTCCTTTTACTATCCAGTCTCACTTCCCAGATAATTTCTTGTGTATTTTTACCAGATATACTCTGCATACTACAATATGTGTGTAAATTTTATCTTAGTTATGTAAGCTAATTAAAATCCCTTGCATTTATATTCTTCATTTATGTATGTATTTTAGTATATGAATGTGTTTTATTATAATGACTGATTTATGACTAAGAAAACATTACAATGAAATCATGATTTAAGAAATAATTGCAAGTTGGGAATGTGGCTCAGTGGTAGAGTTCTTGCCTTATGTGCACAGGTGTTGAGTTTGATCACAAGCACCACATATATTAAATAAATGGTGAGGGTGATATGCGTATGATATCTGTCATCCCATTGATGACCAGAGTTTATATGGCTAATCTGCCTGGCTCTGCAGGTGTCTTCTTCCCTGCTTAGCGCTCTGTGTGCTTCAAGTGTGTCCCTCCCAAAGCTACATGCTCCCTTGCTCCCTCAAAGAGGATGGCGACCCTAGATGGAGAAGGATGATTTCCTCAGGTCAAGTGTATGCGAGTAGTTGTACTCCTGTGCTATAAACTCTGAATGAGCACTCAAGAAATAAGTGCTGTTTTTCAGGGATTTAAACAATTAAAATATATATACATATATATACTATATATACTATAAATATTCAGATTTTAAAATAAATAATGTAAGTTAATTTAATGGTAACAAAAGTGTATCTAGTGATAGTAATGCATGACAAATTATCAAAAAAATGAAAAAAGTAAAACTAACATTAGTTGATCATTAAAAATATTGGGAAAAAATAAAATGTATTTTGGATTATAATATCACTGTTTCATTTCTTTTCAGGAATGAATTGGAATCTGTGAAAAGAGAACTAAAACAGAAAGGGGATGAAGTTAAATGTAAATTGGACAGGAGTGAAGAAAATGTATGTCTTATTTAATAGTTTTTGTGCAGAGTTTCAGTTCATAAAATGACTTCATATGTCTAAAAAATATACACTGTTGTACAAATAACTAATGATGTAGGGATTGTTATAGGTCATTATGCTTAAAAATAAAGATAAAACTGGGTAATTTTGCTTATCTGTATCTGTAAGAAATAGTAAGATAATAAATTTATTAAAATTCATTATTAAATGTGTAATACATTTATTAAAATTCATTATTTCTATTTCTGGCTCTAAGGGTTGTGTTACAGTAATGTGGAATACAGGAAAAAGTTTGCATTGCATTTTGGTGAATTTAATTTCGACAATTTGAAATAGAAGTTTTTTTAGGAAAGAATGTCACAACTGGACTAATACAAATTGTATGACATGATTTTGCAGTAGTGTAATGTGTAATATATGAAGAAAGAGGAAATTGTACCAAATTAGAACAAGCTAGATTATGAAGACTATGTCTTCTTTCACTAATTCAGTAAATATTGTTAACTACCCTTCAATATGTGCCAGGCATTGTTTAGGATGCTGAGTTTAGATTTCATTTGCTTTAGTGGACAGTAGTGATTTAGTAAAGTTTTTACTGAGGAGATGAGACCTTTTTTAGTATTTGAGAATATAATGGGGAGAGTTTAAAGGCACTAGAAATTAGAGGGCTATTAAAAATAATCTTGATGACTGCTATAACAATCTGAGTGGGGGATATAGTTCAGTGGGAGATTGTTTGCCTAACATGTATGAGCCCTGAGTCTGGTCCCCAGCACTGAAATTAAAAGAAACAAGTCTTAAAAATGCTGAAAAAACTTGATGAAGATTCTCACAAAGAGAGAACATGTGTGGTTAGGGGATACAATATTCAAACCAGAAATGAGTTGCACACTAATTCCTGGAAACCGTATCAGGAACTGAACAGAAGTATTATGGAATTTTTTTTTTTTTTTTTTTTTTTTTTTTTTTTTTTTGGTACTGGGGATCGAACTCACGACTGGGTGCTTGCGACTGTGTGAAAGGGTGTTGATGGCTAGATCAAAACATATGTCCTCTATATATGAAAGCTTTTGGAATCCACATAAAGGATATGTAAGCTCATGGTGGCTCATGCCTGTAATTCCAGCATTTAGGAGGTTGAGGTGAGAAGAATGCCACAAGTTTGAGGCCAGCCTGAATTACAGAGTGAGTTCAAGACCAGCCTGAAGGACGTAGACTCCATTTCAAAAAAAAAAAACCAAAACAACACAACACAAAACAAAAAAGGATGGACTGTTAATCTAAATTTAGATCAGATCAGGTTTCCTAAAAGAAATACCATTTAGATTTAATTTACTTAGATTAATAGAATTTATTGGAAGGCAGAGGGGTGGATCTAGGTATAGCAGAAAAGGAATATTCAAAGTTAAAAAAATACATTAATATGGGAAGGTGTGGAAGTCAGAAAGCATGGCATGTTTAAGCAACTATAAAAATTTATATTCATGAAAGATAAAGTTAAAATGCTGGTAATAGTGGAGAGAGTAGGAAAATGTGTGTGTGTGTGTGTATAGAGATGAGAGGAGAGATAAGGGTGGAAAAAGATGAGGTTGGATCATTTAAGGCCATGTAAGTAGTAAAGGGATTTTAGGTTATTGAGTTTTGACTTAAGGGTTAATTATATTTATACTTTAGATAGATATAATACTACTGGAATAGTGCAAAGATGAACTAATATTCTTAAGGGCTCACAGTGGACCATATAATGTAAATTATTTTTATGTGCTATTTTACTTAATTGGAACTTATTATTATCCTTGTTCTATGAATTAGAAATCAGGTTTCCAAAGAGTAAAAGCTTCAGAAGATTACATGATTAAAAAGTAGTTGAGCTGTTCTTGTTTTTGGACTGTGTTCCCTCCTTCAAAACCTATTTTAATTTCAGCTTTCTATTTCTTAAATTCATCCTAAAAATGAATTTAATATGTTAAACATTTGGTGTACAATTCAGTACTTAAAAAATTTATACCAGAGGCTACCAGTCACTTGTAGGAAAAAAAATCCAAATTTGTGTTTAATGTAAAATCTCCCTTAAGAATTTAAAGTATAATGTAGTGTGGAAGGTATTAGTGATGAATTAAGGAAAAAAACAAAATACAACAAATTATTAAGATTTCAGCTCACTTACTCAGTTTTCCAGATAAAAAAATCAAGTTGGAATTTTTTTTGGCTGATGTATAATTTCATTGCAGTTCTTTTTTTCCGGTCATACTTAGTTCAAATATTGTTTCATTCACACTTTTCCTGTCTTAGCTTCAGTTTGCAATAATACCTATCCTTTCTGACTAAATTGTTACAAGGTTCAGATTAACAAATGTATGTGAAAGATATTTGAGGTATTATAAACATTTACATACAAGACAGTTATTAAAAATTGAAGCTAACACAAGGAAGTCTGATAGAATATTTGATATTATTTGATAGAATACTCTATATAATGTATATATAATATATATAAATATATAATAGATTTGATTTATAGAAGAATGATCTTAAGGTATCAGTGAAGAACACTGATACTTAAGTAATAATAAGATTATTTTTTCAATTGGCATAATTATATTTATGGCATATACACTAATATTTTGATATATGTATATTGTGATACAATTAAATCAAGCTGGTCAACATATTCATCACTTAGATGATTTGTTTTTAAAAAAGGACACTAAAATAAATTGGGAGACCTGAATAACTATGTTTTGTAGAAATATGTCTAAGTTTTATAATTTCATTTCTAAAAGATACAGAAGAAAATTGGATTCTGTTAACGTTTTTAATCTGATGTCAAATACCTTTTAGGCTCGAAGCATTGAATGTGAAGTTTTAAGAAAAGATAAGCAAATGAAGATACTAGAAAACAAGGTATTTCCTAATTGTAAAAAATGTTCGAGAGTATAAAATTTTAAGTGTATGACTGAAAGGCCAGTCTTTTTATTATTCTTTGTGAAGAAATTCACTTTTTCCATTCATGAACATCTCTACATACTTACGTAAACTTGACCTTACACATAACAGTCCTCTATAAAGTGTACTTTCAAGAATTCTGATCTCTAACAAACCAATTTTTTTCTGAGAATTCTTATAAATAAAATTGTTTGTTTCTGTGCACACAGATTTTCTAAAAATGAATTGTGATCGCTGAAGACCTTTTCAAGAATTTCTAGTCATTCTTCCAAATCCATTTTTAGTATCTTTAAACGTTGAAAAGGAAAGAATTATTTTAGGAAAAAGTCATATAATAATAATAATTAGCCTTAATTTTGAAGATGATTTATATTTAAAAGCGGTGGAGACTTAAATATCTTTTAATTTTCATTAGCTTATGCAGAAAGAAGAGTGGGATGGTTAGAATGATACGGGGCAATCAAAACATCCAAAGTTAATGCTTCTCATATCATTTTAGTGTGAATATGCACATATTTGGACTGTGTAGTAATGTCAGTAAAGGTGAATTTTAGGAAAAGGTAGCAGCAAAAGGCTTTAATGACTTAAAGAATAGGGGACTAAAAAAACATGCAACATGAGCTCTGTCTGGCAGAGTAATAATTTTGACGATGCCTTATATGATATTCTTTAAATTTGAACATTTATTTGGTGAGAGCAAAAATCCCTGGTTTTCTGTTAATAGTTTTAAATTTCAGTTAAATTTTGCATTGTTAGAAATTGTAGTTAGTTTTTTCCTGAAGCTTCTCAGCTATCTTCTATAGTCTCCCTGTTTAAACAAATAGTTTTTAAGTCTTTAATTTCTTTAAATATAGTAAGCACAGTGGATCACCAAAATTCACTGGAGTTATATTCCTAGAGCATTTTCAAATTATGAAAAATGGCATTAATTCAGAAATGATAAAAAATACATATAAATGTCTGTTTTTATGTAAGTCCTAAATATGCTAAGTCTCCCACAGATATGTCATTTAACCTAATAAAATACTGTATTAATAAAGCCTTAGAAGATGCAAGGCATTGTGGTGGCATCTTAAGGAGCCTAAGATTTTAAGAAGAACAAAACTGAGAGCCCATGAGATCACTATATGAGTACAGCAACCTGTTATGATGTGGAAATGCTGGAGCATCTGCTAGATAGGAGTTATACGGCAGCAGCCAGTTAGTACAAAGGAGAACTGGATAGTGCTTTTGGATTGGCTACTTGCAAACCTCCCAGCAAAAAGAAAGAAAGAAAATTCTGAGGATATTTGCAGTTTCTGTAAAATTGTGGGTGTTACCACACGCTAGGTTCTAAGGAAAAGTCTGCAAATGACTCATGCCTCAAACTCTGAACTACAACTTTGTAGGGAATATACTGTATATGTATTGTATAATCCATGTCTGCTAATACCAGTATCTGAAATCTTTTTAGGTCTGATTTTGTGCTTGCTTTTTGTTTTTGCCTGTTGAGCCTTATTTTTGAAATTTTTATGATTTTTTTGGAATTTTGTATGTTGGAATTCTTTAGACCTGTGAGGAAGTTAATATCTCTTCCAGAATGCTTTTTTGCAAGCACTACTAATAAGAGGCCATTTTAAATTAATTGCTTAATTTTAATTTTTTCTGAATTATACAAGAATTCAGCCTATAAAACTTTATAAGGATACTTTATAGTTTACTGATATTTCAGGGAGGATTTTTATTCCTTTTACTCAGTTCCAAAGACTGAGAAGTTCCCTTACTGTATCCTTCTCTGTGGAAAATTTGTTTCTTGTTTATCTTTTCATAGACTCTTGAGTTTCTGAGTTAATGCTGATTTGTCTTCCTGTATTTTTTGCATTTTTGCCTCATGTCTCTTATCTTGCTTGGAATTATGCAGATAATTCTAAGAACAAACGAAGGTTTTGTTATTAGCCTGAAATCTTAGTATCACTTTAATGTGATAAAGTAATCAGATTCCTTACTTTTTAGTCTTTTATGTTAAAATTATTATTATTAGGAAGCTTATTCTGGGGATCTTAATAGCTTTTCTGTCAAAAATGCAAACATTTTATTTTTAAAGTAAATACAATTATAAACAAAAATTTTTACCGGCTACTATATTTTTACCAAATTTGTATGAAAACCAGTGAGAGATTTATTGCTTTTTAAAAGTTTTTATTCCTTAGTTTCCTTTTGAATTTTCTGGAAAAGACCATTTGTAGGCTTGAGAGTTACAAAATTTAGGTAACATAAATCACTTGTAAACAAACAGCAGTACAATGTAATATTCAGTTTCTGTTAGAATATAATTATCTGAGTGCTGCATGGAAAAATATTTTGTTCTAATGGAAGAGATTTAAGGTTTTTCCAGTGAGATTCCTTTTACTTTGGCAAAAATTCGAAAAATTTTTATATATATGATACTTTAGGACCCATGATTTTATAATACTTTAAACATTTTTGGGCCATCTGCGAATCAAGTTCTGAATGTATACCCAGAGGAAAATTATCTCACAAAGTGAGATACTAAAAAGTGGATTGGTTGGTATTTTAATAAAAGGAAATAAAGTTTAATGAGGAAGATAGTGTGTCATATTATTTTTCTTTCATAATATAATAAGCTTCTCAGAAATGAGAAAGGGAGAAAAAATGAGTAATGAAGAAGACAAATTATTCTTAGCTCTGGTAGCTGCTTTTCACAAGCTATTTAATAATTTAGCCTTCTGTATATGGTTGACCACAGAACATATTTACTTAAAATAGATGTTCTCATGTTATTTAAATAGATGAATAACATCTCAAATTTGTATTGTGAAACTTCGTTAAAATATTTAACTTTACGTTTTATGTTAATGGAGTTAACACAAGACTTTATATAACATCTTTATTAGTCTAAAATCATTTTGTCTAGAATTTTGATAACTAATTTCTCATTTTGTAGTGTAACAATTTAAGGAAACAAGTTGAAAATAAAAGCAAGCATATTGAAGAGCTTCAGCAGGAGGTAGGTACTATTTATAACTGTTCTCAACATCAAAATAATATTTTTGCCTTAGTTTCAGAAAATAATACTTTTAGCCGGGCATGGTGGCTCACGCTTATAATCCTAGCACTTGGGAGGCTGAGGTGGGAGGATCCTTATGAGTTGAAGACCAGCCTGGGCTACAAAGTGAGCTCAAGGCCAGCCTGAACTGCATAGCGAGGCCACGTCTCAAAAAAGACAAAAAAAATAAAAAAAATAAAAAAATAAAAGAATAATACTTTCTGTTACTAATTTAAATCTGTGACAGTTATGTAATTTTAAATTACTAAGTACTGAATATTCTCTATTTTTGACTTGTTACAGAATAAGGCCTTGAAAAAAAAGGGGACAGCAGACAGCAAGCAAATAAATGTTTATGAGATAAAGGTATTTAACTATTTTAATTTTTAAAAAACATACACGAGAATTTAGAAATTTTATATCACATTTTTATATCATAACAGTTACTTTCAAAGATTATTATTTTTTTGGGTTGAGATCAGTTGTAGCTGTGATACAGTGGTCATCTGTAACCGCTTTAAAAATTTATGTGTGCATTCTTTATTTAAATTTTATTTTAAAGAGAATAAGGCAAAACAAAACAACAAAGCAAATCAGAACAGCCATGCAAGCATGTGTTGCTTCAAAACAAGACAACAAGAAATCAAAAATGACTACCATAATCTCTTTTATTTTCTTTGAAATAAGTTGTCTATACCTTCACACAATAATATCAAACATAACAAAAAAGTATAAAACCATTCAAAAGAATGGAAGCATTACAGGACTTCAAAACCAGATAACAGAAAATGAACAGTGGTCACCATAAATGTCTCATTTTCTTCAGAATAGTTGTCCATACAGTCACACATAATAAAATCAAAACACAACAAAATAAAACCAAACAAAAGAATAAAAGCACTATAGGACTTCAAAACAAAATAATAGGCAATGAAAAGCATATAGAACTTCAAAACAAGATGAAAGGCAAGTCAGCAATGGCTACCATAATGTCTTGTTTTCTTCAAAATAATTAACAAATCAATTAAACAAATGAAAGCATTATGGGACTTCAAAACAAGATAATAGGAAACCAACCATGATTACCATAATACATCCCATTATGTTCAAAATAGCTGTCCATACCATCAGACAGTAAAATCCAACAAAACAAGAGAACAAAAACAAACATAACAAAATTGTGAAGACAATACAAGAGTTCAAGACAAGACAATAAGAAATTAACATTGGTTACCATCTTCCTCTCCTGGGTGTTTACTCTCTTGTCACTTTTATAATATCTGTTGTGCTTTTTTGGAACACACTCCTTTTATATATGCTAGGGTTCATCCATGTGAGTTCAACCATTTTACTCATGAACATGATCTCCAGTTGCATCCATTTATCTACAAGAGCCTCGAGATTATTGTACTTTATAACTGGGTAGCTTTCCATTATATGAAAATACCATATTTTTCTTATCTATTCTTTGGTTGATGGGCAAGTTACCCTTGCTTTTTTTCTGGTCTCCTGTCACATGGAACAATTGTTTTCTCTCCTATGATTTTTAGTCTATGAATTTTCTTTCAAGTTAGATATATTTCTTTTTTGTATTTTTGAGACAGGGTCTCATTATGCAGTTCAGGTGAGCCTTCAGCTTACTTTATAACACAGACTGGTCTTCAACTCACAAAGATCCTCCTGCCTCAGCCTCCCAAGTGCTAAGATACAAGCTTGTTCCACCACACTGGGCTTAAATGTATTTCTGGTATGTAGTATATTGATGGATCTTGTTTCTTGATCCACTCTCCCTGTGTTTATTTTTATTGCTAAATTTAGGCCATCTACATTAATGGTTACAGCCAGCATACATTGATTTGTCTCTGTCATGCTATCCTTCTGCTGTTGGCCCTCCACTTTCCCCTTCATTCAATTTCCTGTCCTGTTTGGTGATCCTCCTCTGCTGCTGTTCTTGGAACCATGATCATCTTCATCTCTTTCTAGAATATTCTTTAGGGTATTCTATTCATTCGCTGTAGGGTTGGTTTGTTAGTTGTGAATTCCTTCAGTAGTTCTTTATCATGGAACTATCTTATTTTTTCATCAATTTTGAAAGATAGCTTTTCAGGGTTCATCAATCTGGGTTGGAAGTTGTTTTCTTTCAGGATCTGAAACACTTCGCTCCAAAGTCTTCTTGACTTGATGGTTTTGTGTTGAGAAGTCTGCCATGATACTGACTAGTGTTCCTTAATAGGTGATCTGTTTCTCTTCTCTTAATAGCCTTTAATATTCTGTTCTTGTGCTAAATTTCTGGGATCTTGATTATTACACATCTGGGTATAGATTTACTTTGGTAATGGTTAGGTGGAGTTCTATATGTCTCACTTATCTGCATGCCAGATCCTTTCCCCATATTTGGGAAGTTTTCTGCTATTACTTCTGTAAATAGCCTTTTTATTCCATTTGTGTTGACCCCTGCTTCTTTAGTGATACCTATCACACTTCCATTATGTTTCTTTGTGTCATCTTATAGCCATTGAATTATTTCCCAGTCCCTTGTTATTTTTAAGAGATCTTTCTTTACTTGATTTCTAGCTTCAATCCTGACTTCAAAGTTTGAAAGTCTATCTTAAGTCTCTTTAAGCATTTTTGCCAGCTTTTGATGGACTTTTTTCCATTTTGTTCCATGACTGTATCTTTCATTCTTTGTCTGTGTGGGCTGGGAGTCTGAGGTTGCAGTTTGCTTCTTTGTCTTGATATTCTCCTAAGTTCCTCTCAGGAAGTTGTTTGTGGGGCCTCAGGCACTTTCTTCATTGGCAGCCCCGAAGGCACCTGGGTTTGTTTGATCCCAGGTTTACAGGGAGGTAGCAGGTTATGGGGTAGGCTTCTCTAAACCTGGAAAGCTACACTGGGACTTGCCTCATTACCAGGGGTGCATGGTAGTGAACTTCTCTCAACCTCTGTGTCTACCCTGGGACTCCAGCGATGGTGGCAGGCACACAGGGATGTGTTTGTTGATTTTTTGTGGGTGATGGTTGCCCAAAGGAAGCAAGAGACTCCAGTGGTGGCCTACAGGTGAATGGAGCTTACCTGACTGTATGTCCCTGCTCCTGCTGGCAGCCCACAGAAAGCAAGCCTTTTGGTGGTGGTGGCCAGCAGGTAGAGGCAGATCTTTCGGTTTTCTCTGACTACAATAGAGATATATAATAATGAAGATAACCAGAAAGATGTAATAATCATGAATATGTTTGTACATACTGTAGTGAAAAGACTTCACAATACATGAGGCCAAAACAAACAAAAAACCCAACTAGAATGAGCAATATACAAATCTATAACTGTGGTTGGAAATTATAAATTTCTTAAGTCTTTAAAATTCTTTAGGTGTATAGAAAATTTGAATGGCACTTTCAGATCCCTTGACTTAATTGATATTTATAGAACTCTAAACTGAAAGCTATAAATTCCGTAGAAGTTATAGTTAGAAAGTTTAACAAAATAGAACAAAGGCAGGGATATGAAACAAATCCCTATACAATTCAAAAGACTGAAGTCTCACAGAGTATATATTCCCTTTCTAACATAGAGTGAAATTAGAAATAACTGTAAAATATTAGAAAGGCTTGCCTATTTGGAAATGAAACATTACACTAGAAAATAATTCATAGGACAAAGAAAAATCAGAAGTTTTTTAAAATGATAAAAATAAAACTTTGTAGAATGCAACTAAAGGAAATTTATAAATTTAAATGTTTAGAAAAGAAATGATCTAGGTTTCCATTTAGAAACTTAAAGGGCCAAATTAAATCCACAGAACATAGATAAAAATAATATAGGAAAAAACAAAATAGAGACAAAAAGAAACAAGAATTTATTTTTTCCAAGTTAAGTTGATTGGCTTCTGGCACAGAGAAAGAGAGAGACAGTGAGAGAGAGACAGGGAGAAATGAAAGAAAATTTTCAGTATAGATGCTACAATCATTAAAAGGATAGCAGGGGAGTGCCACAGAAGAGTTCCTAATAGATTTGAAATTTAGAGGCAAAGTTATTATGAAATTTGTCATCAAAAATGTATATAATTTAGAGCCTAAGCTGGATATGGTGCTGCATGCTTGTAAACCCAGCAGCCTGGGAGACTGAGATACAAGAATTACATCTAATGTGGGCAGTGTAAGTCACTTAGGGGGCCCCTGTTTGAAAATAAAAATAGTTGGTGATGGAGCTCAGTGGAAAGATCTTGAGTTTGATCCTCATTTCCACCAAAAAAAAAAAAAAAGAGAAAAATCTGGACAGTTTCACTGGTGAATATTATCAGATGGTTAAGGAAGAAATAATGCAACTTTCCCACAAATTCTTCGAGAAAAATACAACAGTGAGAACAATCTTTATTTTTTGGTACCAAATGCCAATTAAGATAGTCCAAGAAAATTATAGAACAGCATCCCTATGAATATAGATATAAAATCATTAATAAAATTTTAGTAAATATATTTCACTAATATATTAAACAAGTGAGATTTATCTTAGCAGTGTAAAGTTATTTTAAAATTTGAAAATGGTATAATCAGTGGAGTATAGCACTATTCTGTCATGGAGAAGGATAGTTTTGAGTCATAAGGAAAATGGATGGACTCAAAATCATAACCTTAAGTGAAATACCTAAATATGACACATAAGCTTAAAATTTGCAACATTTCTTTTATATGAGAAACCCAAAATATAATGAGCAAAATAAAACATAGATAATAAGCAATATGGAGGCAGATCTTTTGCAAAAGGAAAGGGGACCAAGAGATGAAGGGAAGAGTATGGAAGGTAAGGGAAAAGGAATTAATTATGTACATATGCCAGCTTCTCATAAAGAATATAATTGTGTACTGCAAATATATCAACAGAAAAGCATCATTAGGAAAATGAATAGACAAGGTATAAAAATTAAAAAATACTGATGAGACATTTTACTTGACTAATGATATATATTGCAAATACATAAAGAACTCTTAAAACTCAATAATAAAAAGACAAACATCCTAATTTAAAATTGTTGAAAGAAAACAACCCTCATAAAAAAATGGGCAAAAGACTTGAATAAATGTTTTTCTAAAGAAGAAATACAAATGGTCAATAAGTGTATAAAGAAGTACTTGATAATCACTATCACAAATGAAAGTTGCAGTGAGATGTCATACTCATTGGAATGGGTATTAAAAAATAGCAAGTATTCATGAGGTTTAGAGAAATTGGAATCCTTGAGCACTATTGATTAGAATGTCGAATGATGCAGTCTCTGGAAAAGTATTGTGGTTTCTCAAAAGATGAAAATAGGAATTTCCATATGTTGTATAATCTTCAAAATTGAAAGGGACTTGAAACAATACGTGTGAACA